TTTTGAGTGCCGGGACCTTTACCAATTCTGATCTACGATAGGGGTATTCCAGTGGTATGTTAATTTGATTTTCCTCCTTCACACAGGCCTTCCAATGTAGATTCTTCCAAAGATATACTGACTAAAAGGTATTTATGGATTCGGATTGGAGGTCTTGGGAATGAAAGTCTTATAGAGGAGACTGGCTTCATAAGTAAAGTAAATGAATTTTAGATAGAGATAGCTCGGAGAAGCTGGAGAGGCACGGAGTCGAGAACAACATCTGTTCTGTATACTAGTCGACCAGAGAGAAGCCGACTTATCCGACAAGGCTAAAAAAGAATGGTTTATTGACCAGTTTCCACGGACTTTCGATAACCGGCTTGTGGAGGTGCCCATTATGTCGTTCGTTATGCTTCTTGTGATTGAGGTGTCCGGTGGGTGGACGTTCCCTTATGTTCACCTCTCGCCCTTCGCTTAAAAACAAGGATCGAATGGACGTGCTATTTTTGAACTCTTCCAGTGAAAAAAGCGATCTATGCATTTATCATAGGCAAAAAAAAGAAGGTATTGAATAAGCTCAGTTCTACTCATATCTATGTCAATTTGATGAAAGCAATTCCTACCTTTGGTAGCTCTCCTTAAGCTCGGAAGTCACGGAACTCTCTTCCTAAACTGAAACTCAAATAGGAAAGTACACTGACTGAGTTCAGTCGTGCCGGTCTTTCTTATTCTTATTTTCATAGAGTGAAGTAGTTCTGGGAAAGAGAAATAGACTTACTTTCCAGTAAGATAAGAGCCAAGGAAGAGAAGGAGCTAAAGTAACACTCAAATCATAGGGATAGGTACACTTAATGGCACACAACTACGAAATACGGTCCAATCCCCGGCCTATTCATCAGGCTAGCAGGTATTTCTTGGCCTGTGGTTGCGGAAGTCTAGAGCGGACCAACTACCGAGTGAAGAGAGTCGAATAAGTCAAGTGAGATCATCTCCAGAGGTTGATCTACTTTGGGACCCTTGAAGCTAATCAGTAGGGGTCCTAAACAGGCGCTAGAACGTGGCCTTGAAGAGCATTCGCCAGGCGAGAGCTGGTATATCTCAACCTAGTCTTCTGCCTTTAAACGAATCCTAACAATAGAAAGGGTAAGCGGTTTTAGTCTGACGAGGTTATAGCATTTAGTTTGAGCTTTTTCTGCTGCGTCTTTTAATCGACCGGAAAAACATATACGGATTCCCTCCACCAACGCTACTACGCATCTTTACTATATAGTGTGGTAAGGTAGGTTTGGGTATAGCAGGACTTGAACCTGCGACCATTAGGTTAAAAGCCCAATGCTCTACCAACTGAGCTATACACCCAAATAAAGATGTAGTAGTCAATTAAGATTGGTGCGGAAAAGAGAAGAGGTCTCAACAAGCATTAACTAGTTGATGCTGATCGAACCCTCAGTTCGAAGCTCTTCGCCAACATGTTACGAGGCTCCAGTCTTAGGCGGGTCACCATTACTTGACTTAGCTTAGAAAGGCGAACATCTGGGCAAGGGAAAGCGCAGTGCGCCTGGTCCTTTCGAACCAGTCTTTATAAACCTGGTGCAAATGGCTTTCTTTTTTTATGATATACCAATCAGAATGGAAGGCCCTACGTACATGATTGATAGAAGCACTACGTATGGGGGTCCACTTGATGCAGGAGAGGCATGAGTGCAGTTCGATCTTGTGGTGTATTCGTTTGTAGTGAGTAGGGCCTCTTTCTCGTTGATCAGTTCGCCTCCGCTCTATTGAACGGTCCCCATTCCTACGGCGGTTTTGTCAACGAATGCGTCTCGGGCCGGATTGACTAACCTAACCCTTAAGGTAAGGGGGCCTTGCCATAGTTGGGTGCTCTGCTTTAGTGTGATTGACGAAGGCGCTAGGCTAGGTTTGGTAATACCAAAAACAAATTAAAAGAGATTGGAGTCGATAGTTGGCAAGGAACTTTTTTCCCCTCCCCCCCCCCCAAAAAAAAAAGGGCAGCTGCGGTCGAACTCTAATTCTGAAAATAAGTCGGGGCCCTTTTACCAAGTCTACTAGATAGAAATGATAGAGGGCCAACCATGGTTGCGTTGCACAAGACGGTGCCGCCTCACCTCGAGTTCCTTTCTTCGTAGTCAAATCAGATGATAGGCTTCGGCGATGTTACCTACCAAATAAAAAAAAGGCCTGCTAGGTGATCGAAATCTCCTCAGGTCAGTGAGGACTCACTCACTCATCTACGTATTACTAATAATTTTTTCTATCTACTGAATTAAAGACCCGCCACGCCGGGCTATAAGATACAGCTGTTGTACTACTTGACTGGTAAGAAAAAGCTAACGTAAGAACTGGAAGAGTCTTGTATGTACAGTACCCCTCTCTTCCGCTATTGGTGGACTGTTGCACAGAAAGGCCGACAGAAGCAACCTTTCTTAGCGCGCTTTTCAAGCGCTTAGCTTTTGCTAGCGACGGGGCGGCAAGGCTATAAAGTAAGTAAAGTTGGAAGCCTAAGCCAAGAAGGTACGAACGAAGTGACGGGCCCCTTTAGAGATAGGATAGGGGGCTCTTGTGGTAGTAATTGCGAACATCTCTCTTTTTCTCGTAGTGTGCACAGTTTCCTTGCATGCCGCCTTAGGCACATCTCTCTTTCTTAGTTTCATGCTTCCTAATGAATGAAAGTCAGTCTTTTAGTAAGCGTATATAAGCAGCAGTTTAGTGTATAAGCAATTCTTTAGTGGCTGTGCACCGAAAGGTACGTACGGTGGAGGTTGGTTGAAGATGATGTTACGCGGCGTTCAGAACCAGCCTTGAAGTGAATGAATTAGAAAGAAGAAGTAAGGAAATGAGACGACTTTTTCTTGAACTATATCATAAACTGATCTTCTCCTCCACACCAATCACGAGTTTTTCTTCATTCCTCTCGTATATCGTCGTAACGCCCTTAATGCTAGGTTTTGAAAAAGACTTTTCATGTCATTCCCATTTAGGTCCGATTCGGATCCCTCCGTTGTTTCCTTTTCCTCCTGCACCTTTTCCTCGAAATGAGAAAGAAGATGGTACACTCGAATTGTATTATTTAAGTACTTATTGCTTGCCAAAGATCCTACTTCTACAATTGGTGGGTCACCGGGTTATTCAAATAAGTCGTGTTTTCTGTGGTTTTCCCATGTTACAACTTTCGTACCAATTCGGTCGATCCGGAATGGATCGGTTAAACATTCCATTAGGGAGCCTGGTCTTGACTCTTCTGTGTGGTATTCATTCTCGTTCGGCTCTTGGAATCACATCCAGCAGTGGTTGGAACAGCTCGCAAAATCCAACCACTTCACCTACTTTATTGCCCCTAACCGTTTCTCGTACCTCTATTGAAACAGAATGGTTTCATGTTCTTTCATCGATTGGTTATTCCTCTCTGTTCGTATCTCTTTTTCCAATTTCGGTCTCGATTAGTTTACAAGATTAAATGGCCAATTCTCTTCTGGACCCTCGATTCTTTAGTTTTCCAAGAATGTTGGGCCGGGTATGTAAGCCATGTATCTAGGAGGAATTAGAAAGAAGGGCTTTTGTTTTTTTGCATCCTGTGTTGTATTGGTCTTGCAGCTATATATTAGAATAAGAAATATTATTCTTGTCTTATATTATATAATACATAATAATATTAGAAAGATGGTACATAATATCTCATACACGTACATAAAGAAGTTCCTGCATATCCTCTCTAATAATGTAATTAAGGGCTAAGGGAGGTTTCTTGGGTACATTAAGACATAACTCGACATCCCGAAATCAAGTCGGCGGCTCTATTGCTCTCCCTCCAACAATGTGTGACTCTAAAAAACAAACTGCTCTGGCATTTTCAGTGAAGCTCAGCAGCATATTTCGCGCTTATGGGGCTTGGAGTTAATCATCTTGACTGCATATAATGAGTCAGACTCTACCCAAAGGTTCCGAATGCCTATTCGCGAAGCCATCTCCCCCGTATGGCGGATTGCATAAAGTTCCACCTTCAAAATCTCTCTCCACTCAACCGTCTTCCGGAAAGCCCAAAGAGGCCGATAAAGTCTCTTGCTATCACAGCCGCACCGCAGCAGCCTCTATTGCTACTGAACCGTCTGTGTTCACTTTTGTTTACGGAGGGTTCGAAGAAGAGTAAGATTCAGCTGAGCAGGGTGACCATGCATTCCCAAAAACGGAGTTGAGTGCAAAAAGAGTCCATAACTCTCAGTTTAATCTGAGAGGAAACCAAATGCAGTCTCAGTTTTACTTTTCCCTTACAATTCTCCAAAACTACGTTCTGCTTACAGCTTGGATTCCCTTCATGGCGCCTGGAATTTCTCTCACGCCCATAGTATATGACTGCAGTAAAGCAGAGCTTTAGGATCAGGCCAGTAAAGGCCTAATTCTGAGTTTTTATATTTTATAATCCATTGGCAAACATCATGAAGGTTGGTTGCAGGCTGATCATATCTACATTTCGAACTGAGCTGAGAAAAAACCCACCCTGCATAGCTGCACTGAAGAGATGTTCGGCACTTTCATCTTCAAGCATGCACAGGCCACAAAGAGTCACGGTGTTGGTTGGGATAAAATCTGCTAACTCGATCTGCTGAAGCCCAGAGTTGAGGGCCATCCAGGCGATAATACTGTGGCTTGGGTTGGGGATATTCAATTTCTTCCGAACGATGCCTGCATAGTCGACCTTAGGATAGGTCTGCCTAATGAGGTTCCAGGCTGTTTTGGAGAAAAAAATTTCCATCCGGGCTGAGAGACCAAACGATCCTGTCTTCAACAGGGAGAAAAAAAATAGTTCATACAGGGCAATCTCTTGCATTAGACACTGTCCAGCCATTCTGCGGCTAGGAGGAAGGGTCCAATGCAATGCCCATTTTTTATTAAATCGCTTACTAGAGCATGGGTCCGGGAGACCTCTTTCCCTTATAACAGTGACCTCGTACCTGTAGCTGATCGGGCCATTTCTAAGCCACGGACAATGCCACAGCTTCGTGCTTTCGCCATTACAAATCTGACACTTTATAGTATTATATTAGCCACATCTTCCCTTACCGACACTCCTCCAAGACTAAGATCAGTCGGATGGAAGCTTAGCCACCAAAATAGAATGTCTCCAGAGATATCTCAAATTAACCCATTGAGTCCAAATGGACCCATTATCATTAACTACTCTCCAGAAAAGCTTTAACATGGCAGTCCTATTCCAGCCCTCAATTGTTCTTAAACCCAATCCACCTTCATCCTTCGGTCTACATTGGACCAGCTGATCGTATGGATCTTATAGGTGGGTTCGGGGCCTGACCAAAAGAAATCCCGAATGCTCAATGAAATGGATTTCTATATCTTCTCCGGAAGCCTGAAAGCGGACGACCAATAGATGTGAAGGCTTGCAAGCACTGAGGTCTGCAAGCCTTTCATGACAGCAGCCTTCTTTTCTTTTCCAATTGAAAATTTGGCGATTGAACTTGTCCAAGAGGGGGAGACAGTCAGAGTGTCTCAATCTGGTAGATACTAGGAAAAAAACCAGTATTTGAGAGGGAGCTGCACCTCACGGAAGCCAAGAGTACGAATGATTTTTAGTTTTACTTTTTTTTTAACTGGTGGCCGAGAATGATAGGGAACATTTGGCTTTATTAATCCAAAGACCCGCCTAGCTGTGAAACTAATTCAGCACTTGGTTGATGACCAACGCATTACGCACGGAGCTCTCCGCGAAAATGAGCACATCAGCATATATTATATGAGAAAGATAGAGTTTATGAAATCTTCTTGAATGGGTTATCCGCTTGTTGTTTACTTCCCTGTTAAAAAGCTGGCTGAATATTTCCGGGTAAAAAGATAGGCTCTAAGAAACTTGTCTCAATCAAACCGCGGCCCCCCCCCTGAAGAAGCTAGATGGAGATCCGTTAATCATAACTGCAAATGACACTATGGAGATACATTATCTAATCTATCTTACCTAAATTGAAGGAAACTTCAAGGATTCAAGGGTATTGAGGACAGCATCCCAAGGTACTGACGTGACTCGACTGAAAGGAGAGGTGCTTTAGCAACTCGACTTAAAAGGAGAGGTGCTTTAGCAACTCGACTTAAAAGGAGAGGATAAGAAAAAGCCAACTTGAAGTTCAGTTACTTGCCTTCCCCATTCTTTCGAAGTTGCTAGCATTCTCTCTCCTTTGCTCCAAGGGAATCTGTAATAGTAAACCACGCACAGATGCTAGGAATGAAGCCAGCCAATGCCCCTTACATTACAAGAAGATCGCTAGTAGAAGAAGATACCCACACCCACGGCCAGAGAATCGGCGAATAGGGGAAAAACATGAATAGGGCTTTTTGAAATAAATAGGGTTTGCGCAATTCCATTTCTAATAGAATGCCGTCTTTAGCAAAAGCAAAGGAGGAATGATCTACGAATGCCGGGCATGATGTATTAGTATTACCCGAGCTAAGTGCGCTGTTTTCAGAACAAATGCACAGTGAATCTACGAAGTCTTCCCCTTAATGTTAATGTCCTAAAGCAGGAGAGAGTTAATCAACGGGTAGCCCTCTGTCAATCTCTGATGGCATCAAAAATCCGCAAAGTGACAAATCAAAATATGAGAATCAACAGCAGTCTCAGTAAGAGTAGCACGTTTTCGACCAGGCTTAGGATAACCGATTCTTATTTATCAAGCCCTTCTGTAACAGAACTAGCACCGCTTACTTTGACAACAGGGGATGATTTCACAGTGACTTTATCTGTAACACCGACAATGAACTCACTAGAAAGTCAAGTCATCTGTCCCAGAGCCTATGATTGCAAAGAACGCATTCCTCCTAACCAACATATCGTTTCTCTCGAACTAACATATCATCCAGCTTCTATCGAACCAACGGCTACGGGTTCTCCCGAAACAAGAGATCCCGATCCTTCTGCATACGCATAAGCCGTTTCATTCGCCGAAGCATCAGTCTCAAGATCCGAATCCTATGAATCAACTGGATCAATATTCGCAACCGATGCAACATCTGATTCTTTTATGGTTTTGGTTGCTGGACCTTTCTCCGCCACCGTCTTTTCATCTATCAGTTAAATCAGTTGACCTTTCTCTCTTCTCTCTCTCTCCTCTTTTTCTCCTCCTTTCTATTTCTTCTCTTATCTCTTCTAGGGTTAACAAATTTGGTATCAGACGCGTAGGTTACGCAATGGCACCGAAACCAGATCCCACTGTTCTTCCTGATCTTCAGGAGAAAAAGGCGATCCTGGGAACCCAGATCGAAATGATAACCCAAGCCATGACAACACTGGAGTCTCGTGTGACAGATCTGCAGCAAGAAAGCAACGACCATAGGACTTGGGTCAGGGAAGCTCTAGACAAGTTGTTGAAGAGGGATTTGGGAGATGAAAACAGGCCGAAACCCACTACCAACAAGATGATAGCAACAGGCGAGCAGCACAAGGGAGAGGTCTCGACGAGCCTCTTCCACGATTAACGGTTCCTCCGAGACAAGCTCCCAACGGAAAGAGCTCACTTAGGCTTGATAGCTTTGATGTGAGCGTTTGTCCAATTCAAAGATTCTAAGCTCTCACAGCACTGATTTCCGATGGAAACTACAGACCTTCATCACAGAGAAACTTCCAGGAAGATGGAGGGTTCTCGTACTCGCTTGGCGGGGATGAAGTAAACCCTCTTTCTGAGCAGCTATCGAGCCTATTAGCTTCTTGCCCGCATCCCAAAGTACGATTCCCCCGGACAACCACAATGGTTACTCAACTAAGAAGCAAGTCCTTCAAAGAGACAGCTTTACTTACCTTTTCTCCCTAGATGGAACAACTCAACTCCTTACTTAGATTTCAGGGGGTTAAGGTAGTTGACTTTCTGGCTGATAAATCAGGTAACGAAGCCTAAGATTTAGATGACTGATTAGATTACTAGTTTGTTTAACTGAGATTCCCCGCCTAAATCCCATATCTTAAAGTAAAGACTATAACTCAACAGCAAGCTGCCTTTACTTGGCTTCAAGTCCCATAAGAGAAGGAAGAATAGCTGGAAGCTAGAGAGTAGCTGCCTAGCTACAAACTCAAAAGCCTGGTGAAAGGAAGGCCTTTTCCTTACTTAGCTTAGAGTCCCAAAAGGTGTTATAAGCTGGAAGCTAAGAAGCTAGTCGTTTATGAGTAGGAGTTCCCATCGGTCCAGAACTAGAAGTCAACTCAAAACCGCTAAAAGGACCTATTATTTGCCCTATTAGGACCTATTATTCTAAAGTACCATTGGAGCTCCTTTTCCCGACAACAGATCGGAGATTTTACTTTCTCAAGTCATACGTCTTTTGTTCAGCCAACAGTGTTCCGCTCTACTTATTATTACTTACTAGCGCCCTTCACTTCAACTCATACATACTACTTTTTGACTTTCAGCTTATTCCCAAATCAAAGCTACTTGCTTATAAGAGAAGAGCAAGGTGCGTAGCTGGCTTGTTAAAAAGCATGGAAAGGTATCCAGAAAGCACAGTAACAGCTATGATATAGGCACCCTCTCGCCTAATACCCACTACTAAGGATTGAAAGTAGCACAATCGGCTATAGAACTCCAGATCTACGAATAGCCAGAGCCTAGCTTGATTACTGGAACTAAACAGCAAGCTGCTCCTACCTTACTTATCGATAAGGAGTACAGGGACTGAGTCGACTTCTTTTAGTTCTCTTTCCCCTAGCAGCCTTTCCTTCTTGCTTAGAGCTTCTATTCCTTTTGCATTGCCCATCATTCTACTCAAAAGAGGACGAAGGCTACTTTCGGGACATTGGTTGCAGCGATTTGTAGACCAATAGCAAAAGCAGCAACGATTCGATGCTCTCTTCCTCCAAGAGCGCATTCAAGGTCTAATGAAATTCCCGGATTGAGCATTCTTGGCTAAGTATTCACTGATTCAAGATTTCCGGTCCACGGTAACCGATACCCCTATTAAGCAGCATACACATTGAGTCAACTCTGTTCACTCCGAGGCCATTCAATCAAGGAGATAAGCGCTGATATTCCGATCTGCCTAATTCAGTCTTCCGTCGGCGAAGTTTTTCATTTCAAAATAAAGTGGAAACTGAGGACTGGGCTAAGTCTTTAATTTCCTCTATGTGAGGAATTCCATTCGCCCTATAGATCAAGGAGAGTTTCAGCATAGATGAAGTAGTGCCCTGGTAGCTCTTCCGAGGGCTGGTGCTTTCCTTCCCTCCCGGGCGAGAAGGGTAGGTTTTTAATCCTGGCTCTCTTCTTTTATCTTTTTGGGGGTTCTCCAGTTTCATAATTAGAAATCTTGAGCAGAGCTTGTGCAGCACATTAGTTCACTCTTTGGCAATCCTTTGAATCTTCTACTAGTGAAGCAGCCCTAGCGTAGCAATTTTAGTTTTCCTTCCTCCACACTTTCGGTTGATAAGTCAAGCACATAAAAGGATACTTCTTTTCGGAGGGATTTATGATGGATCACGGATGTTCCAACAGATGGATCTATCGGGAATGAAGAAATATCGAACAGGCCTACGTCTATCCAAATGCTAAGCCTTGTCACTAGCCATCTATGGTATCCTCGGTATGACGATGAATGTCTCTAACCTAGCTAGAGCCCTGTTGAGATCCTATTCTCTCGTATAGTCAGTTACTATAGACCCTATTCCGCCCTTTCTTTTCTACATTCCATTTTTTATTGAGCCGAATCACTATCATTATATTATATATTCATTGTTGGTTTGGCTGCTGGTCTAGCGAAGCAACCTCCTTCTATAGTTTATTTCTGGCTGGCCTGTCGGAGTCCTATTATTGTAGATGACAAGGAGCTATATAATCCCTCTTCTTTTCCAAGAACAACGACATGCTCTTAGATCTGGAAGGCTAGAAGAGAGTAGCTCATGCCCTAGAAGTCCGATCGTATAATATCCAAATGTTTCCCCGGAGTGGTTCAAGCTTATGTGACCAAAGCTGGAAAGAAAGATTCTTCTAAACTTTACCCAAACCCAATGCCTGACCATCGATGGTAGAGCGGTCAGTATGATGACGGAGAGGTCCTGTCTTCAAATCCTAGGCGGGGTTCCTTAGAATGATCATACTCACGAAGATGGCATCGAAAAGCTAAGGTAAAGGCAAAGCTACTCCACCTTCAATTGTAACTAGCCGGGCATCAGAAAGAGCACGAGGGTAATGCCTGTAAGACAGAAGCACTTCCATTTTATGGGCTCTCCAACTGGCTCAAAATAAGGACTGGGAGGCAAGGAAAGGAGAAAAAATTTCTCACTCCCGGAAGTTTTGGTAAGGACGTCAAAAATATACGTCCGAGGGTTCAATTCAGTGATCGGATGCCCCCGGACTAAAGTCAAGATTTCATACATATCGAAAACAATAGCTAGATACTCTGCGGGACCTCTTTGAGAAGCTCTCACTGTTCATACATTCTTTCTAATTAATCGTTTTACCGGGAATACTATAGTGTAAGATTCATTCCTTTGTTCACAACAATTGCCCGCAAGATGTTTCTCTCTACGTTGGATGATCGGAGATCCATGGATCACTGACGGTATCTTCCCATGGCTAAGCGTCTAAAATACTTTACTATATCGAAGATTTATCTCCTAAAGTGTTTTCCCTTTGTCAGAAACAACCTCAAGCTTGGAATGGATCTTACACTATTGGTTTACCGGCCTACGCGGATCGTACGCAATGTACCTGACCTAGATTGCGAGGCACTACTTGGGCCCTAGCTTCTCGATGCCAATTCCGTAATGAGGCTCTTCTTCGATTAGATTGAGATCTGATTTTCTTCTCTTACGATATTATCGATTTCTAGATTGAATAGGAATGGGTCAGCACGGTGCAGCGGCAACTGAAATATATCTAAACGGATTGCGTGGTACCCCCGGACCGAAGGAAGGGCTTCAAAAATGAATTGAATCAATGAAATGTTGCTTGGTCTTCACTGAGAACTTGAGTAAGGAGTAGATTCTTTTGGGGTAACTCGAAAAAGGCTTTTTTCTAGGCAATCGACCACTGCATCTGCATTTCACAAAAAGATGGTTCCGCTCGCCACAAGCAAGCCCTTCCCTTTACAGGGAAGCTTTCACCCTTCCCCATCGAGTCGAGTAGCCTCGAATAACTCTCTTCTCCCTCTTTACTTTCGCGTACTCCTCTGTCTCTTTCTTCTGTCCTTTGTCCTTCTCTTCCGAGCAGTAGCAGCAGCGGGAGAGTCGGTAAGTCAATTGAAAGAGATGCTCATCTGCTCTGGTTAGCTCGGTAGAGTGGCAGGCGAAATCCGTCTCTCTTTATAGATATAGAATAGGCGGCTAGTCACTTCTTACTCGTGTAGTGAGAAAATCCTTCTTTTTTTCATGATAATAGTTTTTGACTCTTTATTTTGAAGCAAGGTGGATCTATACGGGAACCGGTAAGTAGATAGTTAGAATCGTATTCTTCTTTCTTCTTGATTGTTTGCACGTTTGTATGAGAATAAAGCTCATCTCCTTCGGTAAGCACATATAGGGTATCGAGCCCTCGGCGCTTGAGAGGACCCCGGGGAGCTCTTCTGTGATAGGCTCCGAGTTCCTGACTCTACTAGGCAACTAAGACATTAGATGAGGGAGTGCTTGTCTGTTTAGCGCTCTGTAGTTCATAGATTGGATATTGAATTCTCCGAAGATGAGTCTCCCTCGAGCCTTACTTCCAAGCACTGCTTCTATAGTCAACAAAGAAGTAGGGTTTCAGACTTCGTCATGAGTTTGACCTTCTGTTCTAAGAAAGAATGCCTGAGCTTCTGTAGCGCGAAGACAAGAACTAGTCAATTTATTATCTCCAATCTGGATAACCTTCTTCCTCCATCCATACACTGACATCAGTTACTGAAAACCGAGATATGGGCATAAAGAAAATCAAACTCTTTGCTTTGAATAGCTATCCCGTCGTACTCAAGGGATGAAGGAAGTGAAGTTGAGTTTCCTGCCTCTATCTTCTAGTTATGTACCTTATAGCCCGCCTAGTCCCCCTTTTGGGAGGAGTAGTGCCAGTAAGGGTAAGACTCTCATATGATCATTCCTTGTTTCCAGCCATCGATTGAGTTGCAGTCCTTTGCTCAACCAGTTACACGCCTGTTGAATTGGACTTTTTTCAAATTGACCCTTCAAGCAGTCTTACAGCCGAGTCTTTCTTTGTTTAGTTCAAAGAGGAGTAGAGGGTTTGCTGGGAATTCCTGGTGGAAAAAGATCGTGAAATGGCAATGGCTTTTATTAGTCAGATCCGCCCTTCTCGGTGGTCGTTAACAGCTGCTATTTGAAATCCATTCCCGCTGCTGTCGTCAACGGTAGAACTCTTCGGGCATCCGTCCGTTCTTCTTCTGTCTGAGGCAAAGGCGAATCCCTTATACTGTATACGGTCGAGCTGGCTTGTCTGGTTTGCCCCCTCTATTCTTTTGCTTTGTGCAAGTTGCGGGAATACGTCTGCTTTTGGTCAATATCCCAAGGGAGTGAGCGAGTTGGCGATGGAGGTGGTGGGTGTGCTGAACTTCTTATTCTCAAACAAACTGCTCTGCCTGGACGACGTTTAGACGAAGGCAGGTCTACGTTGTACGATGGCCCTAGTGGACCAGTAGAGAGGTCTCTTTGCTTGCGGGAGACGTATCGACGGAGATTTGTGCTGTGTTGCGAAGACATCATCTGACACTCAGTTTCTGACCTTGTTGGCAAGACTCCTACGATCCACAACTTTCGAGAGATAAGAGGATTGGTGTGCTCAACCCATTGCAATCTAGATCCCATTAGATAGAAAAACTTCTCCATGGCTAGCATCCAACCATCAGAAAAGCCATAGGTGTACTGCAGATGGGACCCACTCAACTAAAGATCAGCCTGAGGAGCACACTCGAACATCCTCTATGGTTGGATACCCAGATAGTCGAGTTTCAGACGACCAACTCCTTCTTTACCGTAGAAAAAGAGAAGAGACTAAAGCAGCGGATCTCATACGAGTTTACCGCCCAGACCGATAGATTTCTCGGCGGCCCTTCCGATACCGTTACAACCCCAGGACTAAAGTTCTGAGTCTCGTACCCTTCTGGGAATCGCTTGTCTTTGGCATCGAGCCTGGTAGATTCGCTGTACGACAGAGGGGAAGGGGCCGGAGTCAAAGCCATACTTCACCGGCTAGTAATGGAGAGCACGGGGTCTAGTAAAAGCCTCGAGTTAGTAGCTTGCCATAGGGTGTTGGGGCTCCTATCCCTCAATACGATACAGGTCGCAAACAGGGCTCTCTAGGGTAGAATGGGAATTCCATAGATGATATGCCGAATAGAAGAGTTCGGTAACTTCCGCATTTGCAACTCCACGAGACTCGGCTTCGTCACTCGATCGAGAGACGTTGACGCTTTGCCCTTGCCATGCTGGGTCTTATCCGATTTCTCTTTCTCAAGGAAAAGAAGTAGGATGGAAAGTAGGACTAAGGAGTAAATCTAGCAGGACGCTACAAGCCACCTCCAATCTGAATCGTACCTGATAGTCATCTGAGGAAGGAGATTCCGGTGAAGCAAAGGAACAGAGAAGCCCAAGGAGTCAAGCAGCCCATATCCACTAATGAAGCATAGCAGCTCTTCTCTTCGTATTTAGATCTGGAAAGCTACTCCCCATCTTTGAGCTGAAAGGTCCTGATTGAAGCATCAAAACAAAAGTGACAGGAGTAACAAGAATATGCAGCCTACGAAGACTCTGAAGTCGGAGATGCTGGAGCGGGTGAACTGGCTATAGGTTTTCACTTCAATCTGAGAGTTTACCTTTTTAATCCAAACAGAACCGAGGAGTAGTTCTTACCTCACCCTCAACCTCTATCTGTTATTCTTTTCCCTGCTTTGGAAGCATTAGATCTCTAGCAAACCCGAGGAGCCCTTAGGTACTCTCATCTTTATCCCACACTTGCAGTCTATTGGTCTAGGAGTTCCTCTGCTTTGATGGCAGCAGCTGAAGGAAGATAAGAATGCCGATTCAATCATAAACCTCTCGGTTGGTGTATGATAACTTAGATGCTGCTCCATATCTCGATGAATCTAGGAACTTTTGCTTGCATTCTTTGGTCGATGGAATTGATGAAAGGTTGCTCAATGAATCGATACTGCTATGCTTTCTTGGCTCCCAGTCCTATGTTTCCTTGGCGATAGTGCTATTCTCTCTTGTCTTCCGTGCTATGCTTCTTTCTTACTATGCCCGCTTTCCTTTCCTACGTTAGCGGAATACTGCCCCTGCTATCCATCCATTGCATTGGCTGGCTTCTTGGGAATGGTAACTCGATGGAGCACACTCAAAGATCCTTCAACCCTGCTATCTTAGCCTTCCCCCCTTATACCTGCTCCTCTTAGTGGTAAGGCTTAGTGTTCTCCTTTGGTTTAGCAATAGCAACTGCCCTCCTTTGTCAACTAGGTAAGCAAGTTCAGAGACAGCGGGATCTCCCGAACAATTCTCCTACTTAGTGGTTAGCCCTTTCTCTCTTACTGATTGAGAAGTCCAGTATGTCTTGACATGGAGAAGACGAGGAAGGACAGATCAGCAGGACTCCCGACCCATAGTAGAGCTAAAGCAGCCGTAGCAGTGAAGTCTATAGGTTTGGATTGGTCCTCTTGCTCCTCATCAGTATCAGCAAGCAAGTCGTAGCTGTGAAGTCTATAGGTAGGAAAGTTCCTCAGTCAACGAACTATAGGTGGGAAAGGTCTGCAAGGTTAACAGAGACTCCTGGTCCTGGTAAAGTAGCCGGAGCCTCGGTCTATTCATCTTCCACTTCAAAGCAGCGAGGCCCTAAGGAAGCAAAGCGGAGGAGAGAGGCATATGAAACACAGAATATGAGAGGGTAAGGAGAAGCGGCCAATCGAATCTTGCAACAAAAGTACGGAAGAAAGGACTAGCTTGATTGTTGGGAAGGAAGATTGTCGTATGTTGAAGAACAGTTCCCTCAGTTGGGTGCTTGTGGATGATGAAGGTATTCGGTGAGTCAGAGCCCCATTCCTGCTGCTTCTGCAGATAGGGAAGACATAAGCCGTTTCCTTGTTCCGGAATCTGAGTCCTCTTCACCTAATACAATTTCCTTGTTCAATCGAGTAAAGTGCTTGAGTGTATTGCTGCTTTGAGAACGGAGAGGAAGCAGGGTCGGCTTTACCTGAACACAAACAGGGAGCTACTTATTGCCTACGCCCATAGATAGTGGGTATTCCCTCCCTATATGATCTTGCTTGGTAAGAGGAAGCTAATGCTTTGATTCATCTAAGCCATTGACAACACTTTCCTAATCTAAGCCCATTGACAACTCTTCTCCTGGAGTTAGGGACCCCTCTCGCCGAGTTCACTCTATAGTGTCCGTCGATACATCTCTCGCTATGGCAAGGAAGATCAATGGGATGCTGTTCAACTGAGAGAAGAGATGCTCCTGATAGATGGGATCCTGTTCCTACCAAACTGATAGAAGGCTCTGCTAATCCTACCAAACTAAAGAAGGAATGGAGGACTAAAGAAAATGGCAGAAGGTCTGCTGTTCCGAAGGGATGCTATTCCGCTGATAGAAGGGAAGTCAACTCGGGGATTCGGATGTTGAGATGCCAGAGGAGTGATGGAATATCCAGCTGCCAGGATAGAGGAATGATGTGAATGAGATGCCTGATAGAGGAGTTCAGTGTATTCGGATGTTGAGATGCGAATCTCCAGTAGAAAGGCTAGCGGATGTTGCTAACGTATAAAGGCTAGCGTGTGCTTGGGTGAGGATCTTCCCCTTCCTACGTTGACTCCTACTATCAGCTACATTACATCCGCGGAATCTAGTTATTCAATCTATAAGTCTTCTATCCATCCGGGCATCTCGAGGAGGAGCAACAAGGAAACTATGTTAGACGGAAGAGTGTGCTGAATCATATGAACGATCAGATGGGGCTGTTGAATGAACCCTAAGACAGAGGGCATAAACTCTTTCCGGGCGAAGGGAAGGCATAAACAACTCTTTCCTCTTCCGTTAGAACGCCTTGGAGTCTCTGCGTGAAGCAGCTAAAAGGTATCGGAGGAATCTCTAGAACTCTTCCCTTTCTACGTAACTTCTCGTCCTGATAGGTAGCCGGATGCCTAGGTAACCATAGGATTCCCCTTTCTTGAGGACTTAGCTTTAGCTGTTAGAGAAGGGCATGGCTTTAGCAGTTAGCTTCATTCTTATTGGTAGGTTGATGGTAGGTTGGCGGGTTAGCAGCTGTTAGCTGAATTCGGGTTGGCGATTCCGGGAGTTAGCCTCGGCAGTCTTTCTAGTTATTCCGCTTAGGTATGAATGGTAGGGTCCAGGTGAATGGGTAAGGGCCAGGGCATCATACCGATCTTGGTGTCCCGTACATAAGCCTACTTTCTTTGTCTGTGAGATGGATCGACAAAAGTGTATTCATGTCTTGGCTATTGGCTTCGGTTTCTAGGGTTTACTCCTTTCCCAATCCGCTGCTTTGGATATAGAGAAGCCGTATGTTCTGCTAATAGAGAAGCCGTATGTTCTGCTAATCGAGTTCCTGGGGTCGGTACTAGTTGATCGGGGTAATCCCCTGCTTTGGATACAGAGAAGTCGTATGTTCTGCTAACGGAGGAAGGAATTCCAAGATAAGATTGTAGTTAAGGCTTTGAGTGGGGTATAGTCAAGGCTTGGAGTGGGAGTTCCCCGGTACTAGTTAGTTGCTCGGTTCATCTCCCATCCGCTGCTGCGAATACGTGCAGCACAGTAACGGAAGAAAGAGAAGGGCTCCTAAGAAGCCTCATGTGAAGGAGTTTCCGATCAATAGATAAGTAGTAGGAATGGGCTGTGGATGAGCCAGCCTATCAGATAAGTAGCTACTGGGATTCCTTTCCTATAAGAGTCTATTTGGAGTTGTAGCTGTAGATCTCTTCTCTTTATATGAGAAGTCTAGTTCGAATCCTTCTCTCATTGCTTGGGAGTGCATTTCCTTTCGGTCAATGGTTCAAATGCGCGTATCATCTGGCTTGGCTTGCTTGGCTTTCTCTTTAGCTTTAGGAACTGAGCTCTCTAAGAAAGGATCACCTGCTTATATATAGGCTCGCTTTCCTTTTGCAAGCTATTAAGTGCATGACTTTTGAGAACCAAAACCTGGGCCTCCCTTAATTAGCTTGACCGGAACCCCTTCTTTGATTTGCTTAGCTTGATTTGCTTAGCTTGATTCAAAAGCTCTCTCGCGTGGAAGGAATTCAACCTCTCATTTGATGTGCACTTACGCGCCCATCCCAACTCCAATACTCGAGGGCTTGCTTGGCTCGCTTTCCCGGTTCCTTACTTGCTTGGCCTGTTCTTTCTTTACTTCCTTGACCCAAGACTTCTCTCTTTACTACAAGCAGGTCCATTAAGCCAGGGAGTGTGGTCACTCACCTGTATTTGCCTACCGTGTTCCCTAGATATAAGCCAGTGATAGAAGGAGGAGTTATCAAACAATTATTCCAAGCCAATCAATAAAATACAAGCAAGGAAAGGAATCAAGGCAAGCCAGGCAAGCAGAACAAACCTATCTATGAATAACAAGGTGAAAGAGCTCAGTCTCGTGGTTAACAGTCACCCATCTATTCCTAGTTAGGGATCAAAAAGGGACATAGAGTATCAATCTATCGTTCTATCATATACGCGGAAAGTCTCAGACAAGCAACAGAAGGAAAGCAGTTACCTACTATTGGATTGGAGTCGAACCAATCACTAGTGCCCTATGAAAGCAATACTCTAACCACTGAGTTAAGTAGGAGGAAGACATAGAGTAGCCATTACAGTTGAGTGTTTAACACGTAAATATTCGAATTGAGCCATTCCAGCTAACAATCCAGGGAAGAAACCAGTTGAGTGTTTAACACGTAGAAATTCCTATTAGTCAAGAAAGGCATAGAGTGTCCATTCCACATAGAGTATCCAGTTCAGATATCTCCAAATACTCAGAAGGAAAGAAAGACATAGAGTATCCAATCTTGAGTTCCCTCTATTATGCGGATATTATCGAATCGGCCAATCATGCATTTCCAACTCTCGCGTGTGTGTGCCCACGGGGTACCTTTATATCTTATATGCGTGTGCGAGGAAGGCAGGGGAAGCTCTCTTTACTCCTATGCGTGCTTTACTTACTTGACCCATCCCTTACTCCCTCTCTTGTACTATTGTATTGCCCTGTGTTGGCTAGCTTACCCGTGTTCCATACCTTCCTAGCAATAACAGGACCATTCAAACAAATAAGACATTCACTCTAGACTCGTACGCTCATGACTTGACTCCTAGGACCTGTTTGATTCAAGCTCTAGCTCTCGTTACCTTAATTGCTTGGCTCGCTTGGCTTGGGTTTCTCTACTTGCCCTCTTCAACTCTTATTAATAAGAATGATTGACCGATCTCTTACTTTCTAGACAGGTTCCTTACCGTAATAAGATTAGAACCTTTCCTGGAGTGATTCCATATCATCTCTCTTTAGTTCCAAATTCAGGTTCTGCACCAAACAGACCTAAACAACTACAGGTCATTTATCCAAGGACCGAACGGGGCTGAGAAAGCAGGAACTCTCTCTAAGAAATGCACTAGTTAGAAAGGACTTCCCTTTGGCCTTTCTAACCATTCAAACAGGGAATCGAGCTAATACTTCATCCCCGTAGCGGGAATCAGACCTATTAAATAAACTCACAGGCAAAGCGGGCCCTATCAATTAGCTCTAATCTTATCTTGGTTCCAAATCAAACTATGAAAGGAGATCAGCTCTCTAGTGCGTGTACGTGCCCAACCTATGGCTATACTCACAGCAGGGATAAAAGATTCCGGTTATAACAAATTCTAGTTAGGGATTAGAGCTCTCCACAGACCGGTACCATTGAAACAGGAAAGAACTCTTTCTAAGACTCTCAGCAGCAGGTCCATTAAGCCAGGGAGGAGAGCTGTCAAAGCATTGTGCGCTCTCTCGTTGGCACATACCTACGGGGACCTCCTTCCTTGCCTATAACCCATCCATCCCATGGCAGAAAGCTGGAACTGAGCTCTCTCTTGGGCATTCCTTCTACTCTCTCTTGGGCATTTCTCTATAAGGGGACAGCAGGTAAGGGGACAGCAGGTGCCTTAACTCTTTCCGGATACGCCGACCGGTGCCTTCCTTGCTCCAACCGCTCACTTGCATCGCAACCTGGTCCAATCCGGACTATGCAAGTATGAGAAGTTGATCGGATGCTTTTCTTCCGGGCGTGGTCACTAGAGCCGCCTCTCGGCATTTCTCATCCTCAAGCCACATCTTTGCATAATAGTTATGTGAGTGGCCTAGCAATGAAATCCTTGAGAAATCTCCTGTAGAACCCGGTCCGCTTCGAATACCCTTTACTGAGGTCTCGAAGATCCTTCGCTTGGTCAACGAATCTCTTACTTGTTTTGAACAGTATTCTAAAGACACGTCTTACGAAAAGCAGATTTCATTTTTTGAGGAAATTATTAAGTGGGATTCTGAAACGTATAATTACAGCTTGCACTTTTAACGAGGAACTCTCGCAATTAGCTCTACTTTCTTTCTTTCTGGTTTTGGTGTTCCGATATCTTTCGTAGGATGAGTTCGATCCATTAGGTTCTTAAATTTGTTCAGAAAAGAAAAAAATATGTCACAAGAGACTTAAAGCAGCATTTAGAGCAGGAGTAAAATAAACGCTTTCAATCGACTCCTGCTGCAGACTTTCAAGTACTTGACGTACCTGAACGAGATTATTGCATTTATCGCCTAAAACAGCATCGACGGTTGAAAGAAAGTTTCCGGGGGATAAATTAAGACCTTGCGTTTTAAATAATGGATCTAATATATCGATCATCTCCCCCCGTAAAAAATCTAAGGATTTCTCGAAAGCCTTGGTCTCAAAATTGGAAGGTGTTATGTATCGCATTCGGGCGAGCTCTAATTGTAACGCGGTGCTGAGTGGTACTGATAATCCTATTTTATTGACAAAAATCGAAATGATCTGAGGAGGCATCGCTCTTTAGTGTTCTTTTCTCTTGTTCACCCACCTTTTTTTGCGTTCTAGGGCCCTAATGCTCTTAAGGAGGGAGGAGGCCGACTTGCGCTGCTTTAGAAGGGAGATAATTTCATAAAGTCACTCTCTCTATCTATCCTTAGAAGTAGGGCGATAGAAAGTAAATATGAGATTTGCGTTGGTTTTTCCAACGAAACAAAGCATTATCATTCGGAAGGCTCAGTCCCCGAATAAAGGGGAAAAGGCTATAAGTAGGCCGTTTGCTATTGCTAGAAGGGCTGCTCGCCTTTATACGGCTTGGCTTCGCTATCGCTCCTATGTAGTGATCGGCCTCAAAAGTGGTATTCCTGCCATACAAGCCTATTTTTTCTAGTGCTAGAAGCTTCGCCAGAAGCAAGCAAGACGAGGGAGCGGAGCTTCGTAGACAAGGCTCGTTACGTACTTGACTGACGAGCTGTCTACTAAACGAGCGTTAGAGCTAGCGAGTTAAGCCTCTAAAGTTTGATAGCTCTTCCCCCTCCCCCCCCCCTCCCTCACCTTACTCTTCAATTTCCGCTTAAGCTTCCCCGGTTTGGGGGATTAATTGATTGGATACCCGAGAACCATAATCTTTCCTAGGAACAGCTTCTACGACGATAGATAGGGGTCAGCTTTCTTTGGCATCTATGCCCCCTGCCCTCCAAACAGTATGGGAGCCTTTCAGCTCGTACTGCTCACACTCCTAGATCTTCACGGCACCTCCTCCACCATAGTGTGAGCTGCTCCCAGCGGAGAAAAGCAAGGCCTACTTCCTAATTAGCTTTCAACAACGTCAACAACACCACGAAAAAAGTAAACAATGGTTGCCCACTAATCTGATCATAGGTGAAATCCAATCCCTTCGCTTCGCGCCAGGCTTTGAAACCGTAAGTCAGGCTCCTTTCGCCTCTCCTTTCAGTCGAGTCACGTCAGTACCTCTCAGAAGCGAGAAAGCGAGCAGCAAGCTGAAAAAAGGGGAAAGTGGTTTTATAAAGCAAAATAAGCTAAGGGGGCTGGCTAGGAATCGCAAGAATTGAGAAGGGTGGGAAAGACAGGTTCGGTAATGGCCGGATTAGCAGGAGGAAGGTCTTGAAGAGCCTGAAACAAAGAAAGGTGTACATAAAAAAAGAGGCTGGTTATGGCCTTTACTTGATAGGACTCCTTTCCCATCCCGGGAAGAGGGGATAAAAAAAACCTTGCGGAAGCCCTGCCCACCCTTCTGGATCCCTCATATTTATGATTCCAGGCTTCCCGGACTCGTAATAGACGGCTAAGAACAAGAAGAGGGTCAGTAGTCTCTGCCGTTGCAGGTCCTTCTCCTTCCGCTGAGACGGCCCTCTTTTTTTGTTTGTTCACCGCGGCACGAAATCGAAATCATGAAGAAGCTGGAATAACTCAGAAAGAGAGTGGCGCCTAGCCGTTGAGAGCGTCTATTATCTTTGTAGAGGAACAGTACGATCTTGGACTGGCCCCCTTCGCATGACCTAGAAAGATCAATAAGTCCATGCTACTATAAGGCCTCTAAACTCCTCCCTCAGGACACTATTGCCCATGGGGACGGGGTAGCCCCGACTTCCATAGGTCCTTGGTTCGACCTCCTAATGAGAATTGAGGTCCTTGCGCGGGCGTCTCATCCCTAAGACTTGCTTGCTCTGTATGGAGTGCCCTGTGGTTCCTCGAGTGCCAGCCGCAGAGAGGAATGCCATCAACTAGGGCGCTATTGGCCACTAACCACTCGCTCGCCAGCCGCTCGGGCTCCGCGTTTCAAGTTCGTTATCCTAACCGTCCCCTCTGCTCCACCGGGTGCCTGGCCCTTTCTTCTATCTTATCTACTGCCTTGCTCCTCGGCTCCCTACAGCTCCAGCCGCTCGCTGTAATAGCTTGCTTCTCGGGTGGCTCGCACCCCGGGTGGTGCGGCTGAGCCAGAGTGGGCTCAACAGTCGGCCTATGTTTCCGGGCGCACGCGTAAAGGCATGATTAGTTCCACAAATCTCACTGCACTGACCATAGTAAACTCCTTCTCGTTGTACCAAAATAGAGATTTGATTTAAACGACCAGGTACAGCATCACATTTGACACCTGAGGAAGGTACAGCCCAACTATGAGGTACATCAGCAGATGTTACAATAATACGTAGATGAGTTTTGGCTGGTACAACCACTCTATTGTCCACTTCTAATAAACGTGATTGACCCAATTCTAGATCTTCTTCTGGAATCATATAACTGTCAAAAGTGAGTGACTGCTCATCGGAACTGTTATAGTCAGAATACTCATAAGTCCGATACCATTGATGTCCAATAGCTTTGATAGTAATGGCTGGATCTACTACTACCTCGTCCATTGAGTATAAGAGAGCAAATGATGGTATAGCAATGAACATCGAGATGATACTAGGAAAGATGGTCCGAAGAATCTCGATAGTAGTTCCATGAACAATCCTTTGCGGGATTGCATTTTTTTTATAGTGGAAATGCCATAAAGCGCGAACCAAGATCCATAATACGAAAACCAAAATCAGAATGAGGAAGAAAAAGATATCGTGATGTAAGTCTATTATTCCTTGCATTATAGGTGTAGCTGCGTCTTGAGATCCTAATTGCCATGGTTCCGCTGCATCACAAGGAGAAATTGTGAGGAATAACCATTTTAGAACAATCATTTTCAAAGCAAAGGTTCCTTCATTTTCTGCTCCCCCCAAACAAAGAGAGACTGATTCTGACTCTCCCAATTAAGGAAGACGGAAATGGCTGGTGCCGGTTGGTCCAACCAAGAAAAAAGAGATGGGAATTTGGGGCGTAAGATTCTTCTTCTTCTTACAATATTTTGAGTTAGATGAACAGATCACTCCTCTAAGCAGCCTTCTGATTATATACTTTTCTATCAATCGATAAGCACGGGTGGGGTTTGTCTGTCTCTTCTTCTTTTGGAACGAGATTTCACTCTTTTCTTTCTTCTTTGGGAACTCCAAGTTGTTTAGCTTTCATTCTTCCTTACGGTACCCTTTCAGTCCAACTGAGCAAATTAGTCAAACTTTGTACTCACAATGAGAGAGAAACTGTAGGAGCTCCCCATAGGTCTGAATGAACATAATCCAGCTTTTCTTCCTTTGTATCATGTTGAGCTAAATCAAAACTAACTCTCTTAGCTCTGCCGTATATGCAATCTTCAAAGATGCTGAAGGTTGACACTTTCTTTCTGTCAAGGAATCCTCTTTTTACTAAGAGATCCATGTTCTTCTGGCTCATGTGCCCAAGCCTTTGATGCCACAAGACTGTGTTATCACCTCTCTTCTCCACTGATAGAGAGTGTCCAGTTTAAGGCGTCCCACGCAATATGTATAAAGTATCTAGCCTCTTCCTCAAAGCCGATGCTTCTGACTCAATTGCGAAAACCATTCTAAGACTAACTGTCGTAATCCCACTAATGATTGAATCGAGAGTCATCCTTCTTGCTAAACTCCTCCCTTCTGTGAAACTCACTTTAAGTAAGCAGATGAGCCTCTTACCCGTGCAACATCAGAACATGCATTCTCGCGATCTACAGAGTCCTTATGGGCTTGCTCTTGAAAAAGAAGAATCCAATCAAGGAACCTTCTTGTTACAGAACATACATTCGATTCGTTCCTTCCCCAGCACTGACTCTTTCGATGCTACAGTCGGCTCTACTGATTAGTCAACTAGTCAAATCGCTTTCACATCTCAGATGACATTTGTACCAACAGACTTCTTGATAAGAACTCCAGATGATCCAGCTTATTTTAAAGATAGGTTAGCCAGCCCCTTCTCCTTCAGGGGATGCAGCAAGACTACGTCCACTTCTTCCTCAATCTACTCTAAGAAAAAGGCAAGTACAGCTACTTACTTTAGAGTCGATCCAGTTCCTCGGGGGTCTCAATCAAGTAGGGTATGTGAGCCTAAAACTAAACTAATAGTCTATCAACCTGGGAACTATCAAAAAAAAGTAAAGAGACAAGTAACCGATCCTCTTTCTTTAATGGATAAAGTAAAAAAACGAATTGATAAAACAGAAATACTCTGAGGGGTCTTGGATTGTAGAGCTGATCACAGCAGCCAGACAGAAGACAATAATAATCCCCGAAACTATAATCCGCCGGGCGAAAAAAGTGCAAGTGTGTGCAGGTCAAGCTCAGGGGAAGTTGAATCTAGCGGAGGGGTCTTTGCTTTTGCTTTTCATGACTCAGCTACTATTGAATCCGATCCTAGGGCATTAAAAGAAGAGTACGAGTTAGCAGGGCTGTCTCACCTTGGGCTTGTTGGCCGGCGGAATAACCGCAGTAACCTCCTTCACTTCATGCCTTTGATAGAACGGAGATGGTAATTAGGCTGCTGGTAGTACAACTAGGCTCTTTCTTTGCAAGATTCTCAGCATCTACGGGGAGAATGTCCCAAAGCCCCTTTTCTCCAATTGCAATTCCAGAGGGATATCCTTTTAGACGCTCTCCCGGCATTAGCGGAATAAGAGCAGTGGGACTTGAGCTAGTGAGATAGATTCACTTTCACTATTTGAATGCCCCTCTTCGATTTCGATGAGCAGAGGATTTTCGGACATTAGCTTTAGCAGACCATTTGCGGCATATACTACTATTTCCATGAAGACTATAACTGAAGACTTACTTTCTTATTAATAAACTTACACTAGGAATAGCCCCGAGAACCCATAGTTGCCCGCTACGCCCCTTCTGCTACTTTCTTTCTAGGTCCAATAGGCTCTTTGTCGGTCTTGATGCCGAGAACTGAGTTAATCCTAAATGAAGCCGTGATCTTATATACGATGATACCACCAGACGCGCATTCCTTGGGATCAGAAGGAAGAGTTGTCAACGGGAACTGGCGAGACACTTCTGACGTTAAAGAAGGAAGTCTTCCCCGGGAGGTAACTAAACAAGTTAATGGAAGTCTGTCTTCCCGAACTAAGCAAGTTAATGAGTTCAGCAAGCACACAAGGTTTCTTGTAGACATAAGTTTCAGTTGTTGTTCCCTAATAAATAGATCTCTTTGGGAATCAGCACAGAAAGATGAGCTTAGTGATTCCTTCGGGAAAGCACTTACAACAAAGCCAGAATGTTTAGCTGTGAGAGAAACCCCTAGGAACTTTAGAAGAAATCTGTGCTTAGTGATTCCTTCTTTGAATTGAAATGCTTACTATAGCTAAGAAATCATACGGGATTACTTGGACCTTACCACGTTCCCTCCCCTCTCTTAGTATGGGTCCTGCCCCGTACGAGCAAATCGCTTCAAAAGGATTTGTCTCCAATCTCTTTAAAGGCACTATTAACTTTTCGGTCTTCACTTGGAATCTGTGCACTATGAGTGCGTTACAATTGTTCTTTGAATACTGTGGCGCGCCTTTCAGGTGCTGGTTTCCGGGTGAGGGCAAACCTTCAATCAAATGTGTCCAAGAAATGGACTAGATTGAGGACAATATATTCTAAACCCCCGTCATCGTCTCAACTACCTTTAGAGTGGTGGATTGCTGGAGACAAAGTCCCCTCTCTCCATACATAAAGGGAATTCTAGTTGAGATGCTGAAGAGAAAATTGAAGCCTAAACGACTTCAATTGCCTCCTCAGGATGTCGTCTTTGAAGGGGAGGCAGCTATGAATGAGTATACTTTCTATCGTAACTGGGTGGAATCCTGGTTACAGCACATCCGTTCATACTACCTTCTTTTCATTGATGGAGATCCTTCTCTTTCAAAGTTCTTTGAGATTGAGATATGTGCCCACTCTTGGAAGCGTTCGACTTTCGACCAACAGGTCTTTAAGTTTGGCCTTCTATGGGAGTGTGTGGATATTGCTCGCTCTAGAACAGTTTATTGGCAATGTGCTTTAGGCACAGGTCATATACAGGAAGATAAGGTATCGGAGGCAACAAGCCCCTTTACCGATGACAGTTGTACCAACAGCTGTTTATCAAGGATGACTGGACAATAAAGAATGGGAACTGGGAAAGTCACTGCTATTGGCGGATCTTTGCCTAGAACCGAAACTGATCTTTAGCTAGCCGACCACGTGCCAGAAGTTTATACTGGCATTGCAATAGGTCAAGCAAGTCTGCTGGCAACCCTGTAGCCTATTGGCTTCTTCCTATATCCCTGTTCGGGCAAACTTTTGATTCCATTACCGAGCCAAAGAAGATTCTTCCCCTAGTTCTACTTATCACCTTTTCATACTGGGCAGCATCTATTGAGAGTGGATTGACGGTGTTGAGAGATTTCCAGCATAAGCAGTAGTTGAACCAGCATAATGAAAAAGCTAGAAAAAGGGGCAAGTAGGTCGGCTTCAGCCAGAAGAGCTTAACCGAATTTTTCCAATACAACTTAAGCTCCAGGAAGAAAGCAAAGCCTTGAGGGAGTGAGCTTAGTTACTTTTTTTCGGTCGGTTTGCTAAAGCACCTCTCGGGCACTAAACAAAAAGTAATACTTAATAGGTCCCTATCCACCTTTCTAAGACAACAGATCGAACTCCTATACTCCCTTCGTTCGAAGACCACTCTTGAAGAGCTTTTCCTTACCTATGCCCCTTAGCCAATCAAGCCGGACTTTCCCTTTTTTTCTTGCCTCGGTCTTTCTTTGGTCTATTTCTGCGGGTCACTAAACTAACCTTCTCTGGTCCGCTTTGGCTATTGAACTAATATTCTTCCCCCCCAGGCCCCAAGCCAGTCAGTTTGACCAGGAATGCCTGCGAACGGTATAATCATGAATAAGAAGAGCAAGCGGTAAACGAGTGCGAAGGGAGCGAAGCGAGTTTTTCTTTTTAAGGAAGTCTAGTCTCCTTCAGGCGAGTTGAACGAACGGTCTACTCAAGCTCCTGAGAGCGAGCGGAATAGCCTGGTCTTTCTAATCAAATAAGTAGTTAACCCGCGATTGACCTTTATCTTGTCTACCTCTGTCTCGCATGAGAAATCGAATTCGGGGTGATCAAAACTAGCCAACGAACTCAGCTGGCGAGTGTGAGGCTATAGATATAGTCTATAAAAAAAAAAGAATTGAGCTGACAAAAGGGAAGAAAGAGTTGTTACGCCGCCTTCGACAATCGTGAAACCAACCAACAGGTGCTTTCTTTTGTTGTGTCGCTAAATAAGCAGGCTTCCGTCAAGCGAGGTCAGCCAAAGGGAAAGAAGAAAGAGTGAGCGAGAAAGCGGTGAGCTTACTCTTTAAGAATTGATTACCGTTGATGGCGGGGGGCGGAAACCTTTCCCTTTCTAGTTGTGAATTCCGTATTTTTGAAAAAAAAAAGTGCATAATATTGGATTCAAACCGACGGCCCACCCTTTCTTTGAACCTTGTCAATGATCGAACTTAAAGATATGAACTGAGTGCCATTTGATGAGTAACTGAGAACAAAGGAGAGGGGTATAGCAAGGATGAAGTAATGAAAAAGGAAGTCATTGCTAGTAGTAACGACTTATTACGATCCATTGGTTCATATAGAATCCATGTCCTAGGTGTATCAAAAAACATTCTTTTCACTAAGCGTATATAATAAAATAGAGTGAAAGGGTCCACCCCGAAACCAAGGGGATACTAACTAACAGCTGAGTCCTCTCCAAACCGCAGGAGATAGTTGCCCATCATACGGCTCACCAACTTGCCTCTATGGGAGGCTCACTCCGGGCAGGTTCGGATCACTTATAATACAAAGCTCGGAGAAGGAAGGGGTTAGGTTAGGAACGCAGTAACTCGACCCCTCATCAACTAATTAATGAGACCTTATCCTTGGGAGAGGGCCAAAGGCACTCGACTAAAAGGTTAAAAGATCTCGACTGAAAAGGAGAGGGCGAAGTCATGACTCGAGCACTTGTTGCGAGAGGTCCATAGGAACAAAGGAGCTCGACTGTAAGGAGAGGAACGAGAGTGAAACGAGAGGAGAGGTGAGGTTTCAGTTTTCAATATGATTCTTTTTTCGTATTTGTTCGATGAGAAATGCGAGTCAGTTTTGTCCATTTTTTCTATCCCCCTCTATCAAACAAAATGATCAAAAAGGAAGTTTACTGGCTTCTTATTCTCGTCTTTGATCTCTTCCATCTCTGCCTCGCTCGTTGTCACCTATATTGAAGAAAGAAACCCTGTAGAGAATGAAGAGGGGCCTAGGATCTTCTTCTCAACAGTGCTTCTCGAGGCTCCCCCCCTGAATAAGTAAGGCCCCGTTAGCCTGGGCGAAGATGGGGATAAGGAATAAGGATTGAAGCCCCCTTAGCTCTGCCAGGCACTGGACAGGGGTTAGCTCGGTAAATGTGTAGAGCCAAGTGTAGTATGGTGTAGTAGTAGTAGGCACTTCTAGGCCCCTTCCCGGCTACTGGATCACTCCAGTGCTTTGGGTACTACGGACCCTCTGCCATCCATTGCAGCAGAGCCGTTTCATGAGCGGGGGGGCTAGGCGCAGTTCTTTGAATCAAACGTTGAATGAAATCGATTCTTTTTTAGATATAAAAATGGAAATCGGATAGGATAGATGGATGGATCTATCTTTCCATTTATATATTACTAAAGGATTTATATAGTTAAGTATCGTAGCAAGAAGCCCCAAATCCTTGATTTGGCCAGGAAAGACTGCACTGCTTTGGGCCCAGGATGCGAAGGGAATGAGCTCGGCTGCTTCTCCTCCACACTGATTTTTCTCCGTGCCTGCTCCGCATGCGCTTCGCGCGCCATTGGCGCTTTGCTCTCCTCTTATTCTTCATTGGACGGTTCGGTTCGGATGGACTTCGCCGTTCTTTCCCAACTAAAAAAGAAAAGGCTGTATCACATCGAGATGTCGATTCGTTTTCCGCCCCCAATGAGATGGGGAATTTGTAACCCCCTATTTCTACTTTGGGGCCCTTCATCTTTCTGAATCCAGGCCCGTCCCGGCTCGCGTCGTTCCAACAACCGGCGGGGAGCATCTCAGTATACGATCGCGCGCAGTAACTGGGAGTCCTATTACACCTAAGGCGAACTTCAATTCACCAAACCAAGGTTCATCTCGTGTAGTGATTGTGGACTCTACTAAGGATATTGAGTAGACGGTTGATGTATCAGACTCGACCCTATCTTTCGTAGCATGCATTCCCATCGGTGTCGCAACTGATTCGGTAAGCTACGTGTCCGGTGCACGGAGAACTGCCTTCGGTCCTCCAAACTGACTTATTCGTGGCAACCTTCCGGCCGCCCAACGACCTATAACGCTAGTCACTACTCCCACTGGGGCTAGGAAGTAAGCCCCACAACCCAAAGCGGCGAAGAACAAATAGAATTTGCTACAAAAGCCGGCTAACGGGGGTATTCCTGCGTATGAGAACATAGTAATGGAGAAGGTAATAGCCGAAATAGGATTCGTTTTGGCTAGAGCGCCCAAATCCGCTATATATTTGACACGGGTTTGCCGTAATGCTGAAACTATGGCGAATGCATCCATCGTCATTAATGCATAAATAAAGATACCAATTAGTAGTGATTGAATTCCTTCTATGGTTCCACATGAGAAACCAGTACGAATATAACCTACATGTCCAATTGAACTATGAGCTAGAGGTCTTTTGACTTTCGTTTGGGCCATGGCGGCCAGTGCTCCTAAGATCATAGAAGCAATGCTGCAGAAAAAGAAGATTTGTTGCAATGTAGCTCCATAGGAACCATAAATAGAAACACGTAAAATATTAGCAGAAATAGAGATTTTAGGCGCAATAGAAAGGAATGCTGTAACCGGGGTGGGTGAACCCTCATAGATATCTGGTGCCCACATATATAGAGTCAAAGGGAATATGGAGTCCGAGGGGGAGGGGGTTTTCTTCGGGGCTCGAGAGATTGAATAGACCCACAAGTTTGAAATTCGCCACTGGGGAATTCACACGAAAGGGAACGAGGAATTCTCAACGAAAAAAGTGCTCTCTGAACCGAACGTGAAAGTTTTTTTCCATCAGACGGCTGTTCCTGTAACTCCACTCTCGACTTGGATTATATATCCAAAAAGGTCCGCTCTCGGCCATTCCACACGCTGCCTAGACGAGGTGTGGTTATCTGAAGTGGATTCTCTCTTTTCTAGTAGATGCCGAACCTGCTGCCCCATTGACTAAGAAGAGGGGCGGGCGCAGCAGCTACATGGACCCCTTCCTTTCTGTTGTTGCCAGCGCTTTCCCGGGCCGAGCCGGAATTTTTGATTATTATTCTAATGGGCAGGCAAAGCCCGCAGGCTGCTATCCCAATAGGCCAGCGGGCGGAACGAGGAGAGGCTCCGGCAATAATAGCACCGCGGTCGAAAAAGCGTGCTCCCTTCAGATAACACGCACCGTAGGCTATCCTCGGCCTTCTTCGTTTTCGATGCAAAAGAAAGGAAATCTCTCGATCTCCGAAAGCCTTTTCCTTACCCCGCCGCATCTCCCTCCCTTCGTCGAGCCTTTCCGGGGTTGTTCCTTCCTTATCAGAACTTGGCGGGCATTCTTTCCAGCCGGGGGATGGGTTTTGTTTGAACATAGGCTCAAACATGATTTGAAGGTCCTAGCTACGCCATGCGTTCAATACCAAATCTGGAAAGCTGCAGAAATGACAAAAAGAGGGCGCTTTCCTATGTTGCACTGAAAAAAGAAGGACCTAAGAGCGTCTTCTCTTAGGTTTTTTCCTCCCGCGCCCGCCGCCGCCTGGCCCCCGTTAGAGGGGAAGGGGAAGATTAGCAAAGCGAAAAAAGACAGAGGGAGGGGGAGCAGCATCTTATTCTCTTCGCGAGAACTTCCGGATCGAAGAAGCATTCGGAACGGGCTCCGCGTTCATTTCGTTGGCGGAAACGATCCAATCCATTCGGGGCTTCGGCCAAAAACGAATTCGACTTGATTCATAGATAGAATCAATGATAAATAAACAAAAGATAGATGAACGAGATATCTTTTCTTTCTATAAAAAAAGAGGAATAGAATAGACATCCCTTTCTTTAGATGTCTATCTATCCTTCCGATTTTATATCGTTATATCTGCTCTCTCAATTTTTTTTTAGAGAGAGCAGATAGATCCTATCCCCTATATCGAACACTAATTCCTATCTATTGATAGGAAGATCTTCGTCTAATAGCGGACTTTGCCTTTTTTTAGGAATTTCTCATATCCAAGGCAGCTTACCACAAGAACCCCACCCCATACGACTAGTTGGGGGGGCTGTTCGCCTTTTGAATCAAACAAAGTAAGTTGTAGGTAGGGGCTTCATAGCTACTTTCATTCTAAAGGAAAGCGAAGAACCAATCTTTAGTCAATAGGAGCCCTACTTCCCTCGACCTCATCACTTCAATTGTTGCGCAAACCTCTTTCTTAGTCACCGGGCGGAGCGCACCTTTGTCACAGTAGGGCGAGCTGTTTGATAGTGACTTCTTGCGTTTGGTAGGGCGACGAAAGGCTACTTCCTTCAATCTAGGAAACAGCCGGAAACTCGAGAAGGTCGCCTTTGGAAGCGTTCGCCAGTAACCAAAGCCTCACTCCTTCCTTTTGATTATGTCGTGACGCTGACTGAATCCAATCTATAAAAAAACCCGGAAACTCAACAAAGTGCGTTCCCTTTCGTCAAGTAGGTAAAGTAGGCATACGAACCACTTTTGCTTTGCGGAATAAAAAAATGAATGAGGCGGAATGGAGAAAGGAAAGGTCTGCAGGTATTTATTACTCTTATAAAAGAGGAACTCGAGCTTATTGCGAGAGGTGCTTTAGCAACTCGACTGAAAAGGAGAGGGGCGAAGTCACTCGAGCACTTGTCTAGAGAGGTTGTGAACACAAACTCGACTAAAAGGAGAGGTTGTGAACACAAACTCGACTGAAAGGAGAGGGACAAGGGCGGTATTGCTTGGCGCGAAGGCTGCTGGTTTGGGGGTACGGTACTAAAGGTCCTCGGACTTCCAGGCGGTTTTTATTTTGGGCAGCTGTTCACCGTTGGATCTCGCCAATACAGCCCCCTATGGTTTTTGTTACCGAGATATCTTTTTTTTTCATTGTTCCCAGGGATTTTTTGGGTAATCTGCTCCCATGCTGCAAACAGTCAAATCTGAACTCAACCTTGTCGCTCTTCTTTCTTTCCTCGCGGGCAGGAAGCACACCAGCAGCGTGCGTTGCGTGATTCTACTGTGTTTTTTGCACTTGACTGGGTGGACAGTTGACCGGAAGAGAACTTCGATTCGCCCGGCCAGCAGGCGGGCGGCGTGCTTATCTTGTGTGACAACACTACAGAGCGAGTGGCTCTTCTAGGCGGGCAGCTGTGTGACAACACTACAAGGGTTTTTTTTCCTCGTGTAACATGCTATGGTCTCAATGCCCTTACGAGGTAGTGATGAGTTTCACTCGCTCTAAGCCCGGCCCGCGCGCGGTTAGGAAGATTGGCCGCAATCTGAGCGGTACCACCCACCCTACCCTACCACCTATAGGCGGCCGTCCGTCCTACAGCCGCCCGAAAAGGAACTGCAGTGATCTTGAATAGGAATCCTACAGCGATAGACAGAATCCCCATAAAAATACCACTAGATCGAGCACCAGTGATTTCGTATCCGGTCAAAATCTTGGCTAATTGATCGAAGTGGGTAGCTCCAGTAGACCCATAGATCATGGAACAAATAGGGTGGGTAGGCCCAACCACCACACTACACGTATAGACGCGAACCCCCCTCGTTACCGTACGTGCGACTCTCACCGCATACGGCTCGCACAAAGACTCCTAAATCCATCCCGAGCCTTTTCTTCCCACTTCTCCCTTCAGTCGAGTTACTAAAGTACCTCTCCAATCCTCGATCAAACTTGCCCAGGCGCTATTAAATAAATGGGGGTCTTTCCTTCGCCTATCGTATATTGTATGTATCGGCTTGGCTTCGTCCAAAACTAAAAAAAGGAGGCATTCCGGCGGGCGCGTGCGTGTAGGAAGGCCGACCATTACATAAGCTAAAAGACTAGGACTATAAGCCAGCCGGAAGCGACTCGCTTCTATTCCCCGTTGGGATTGGATATAGATGGGGAATCTATTGATCGTAGTAGTTCGCCAACCTCTCTAACTAACATACGATCAAATTTTCGGCACGGCCAAAAAAAAGAAAGAGCTTCGCTCGGTGGGCCTTCCTACGCTGACGAATGCCTCCTTTCTCTTCTCTTCAGTCTACAACAAGTGGGAGAGGCAGGATTCGAACCTACGTAGAAAAACTTCAACAGATTTACAGTCTGCCGCTTTTGACCACTCTCCCCTTTCCCTTTTCTCTTACCTTCTGCCTTCTCCCCTTCCCCTAGTTCCAATCGTTTTAGGAAAGTCGGCATTCTTTGTGGAAAGGACTTATACCATGAACGGACTCTTTGCCTTGGGTCAATCAGTTCCTTGGCTTACTAATGACCACTTCGAGAAGAACCTATTTGAAAACAGTCTAATGCCACATCTGACTCAACAGCTTCTTCTTCCTTTTCTTCTTCATACAAGCCCCCTTCAACTATATGCAACCACTTCTTGAACAACCTATTCCTATTCATGCGACAACAGCACATTCTATGCCATCTTACTTATACTATTATTAAACCAAGCTTCAATTGCACAAGCCATTCTAAGGAAGATTAGACTGGCATCTGCCTTAGCCCTGTCTCCCTCTCTAGCTAATTGAATACCAGCTTTCTCTTATATTAGTATTATATGTCACTTCCTTGTCCTATTCTTTTAGTTTTAGTATGCATGGGGGTAAGGAGATATTGATTACACAGTAGTTAGGAGCTCATAGTTTCGTGCGCTTACGGCGTGCTCTTTCTTTTCTTTTTATGACAAATGGCCGCCAGTAGACGACAATAGGTGAGGTGTCCGGTACGTGCTTCTAATGATTATTCCAGGCTGAGCACAACATTCTTATGCACCCATTTCACATGTTAGGTGTAGCTGGTGTATTCGGCGGCTCCCTATTTAGTGCTATGCATGGGTTCCTTGGTAATTTCTAGTTTGATCAGGGAAACCATAGAAAATGAATCTGCTAATGAAGGTTACAGATTCGGTCAAGAAGAATAAACTTACAACATTGTAGCTGCTCATGGTTATTTTGGCCGATTGATCTTCCGTTTCAACAATTCTCGTTCTTTACATTTCTTCTTAGCGGCTTGGCCGGTAGTAGGTATTTGGTTTACTGCTTTAGGTATTAGCACTATGGCTTTCAACCTAAATGGTTTCAATTTCAACCAATCAGTAGTTGATAGTCAAGGGCGTGTTATTAATACTTGGGCTGATATTATTAACCGTGCTAACTTTGGTATGGAAGTTATGCATGAACGTAATGCTCACAACTTCCCTCTAGACCTAGCTGCTGTTGAGGCTCCATCTAAGAGGGAACACTGTAACAACAACCAGATCGGGTCTATTCCCATTCCTTCACCGAAGTGGTTGACGAGCTCAAAAGTTCCTTTTTTCTTACTTTTCGTGGCTGATTAGATCACTGAACTTGGTTCACTGACGCTAAGAGAAGGAACCATTGGATTATTTATATATCCCTCCCTTTCCACTAGGCTTAAATCGGCCAGTAAATTCTGGTGGACCAAATACAGCAACCTCACCTTTAGCCATGCAGAAGAGGAGATTCCCAGACTATGATGCCTGGCACCGATCAATTCTGAAAGTCCTGGATTTTTTGTACTCTCTCTGAAGAAACTATTGGATATGTATTTAGACTTGCAACAGCTCAGGAGGTCTCTCTTTGGCTGATCATTTCAATCATTGTTCTATCTCCCGTGACTTTTCTTTGCTAATAAGCTAGCTCTCTGCAAATGATAAGAAAGGTAGAACTAGGGAGATAAGAGATAAGAGATTTCTTTCCAATTCCCTTTTTTGGAGGCCAAGCGAGCTAAATGGTATAAAAATCACTCGCCAGCCAATGGGAGTTTGCTTAGGAAAATAAGGTGCAGGTCAGGTTCGGTTCGTTCCTTTCAGCAGTATCGAATAAGCCAAATGAAAGTGAGAAAGCGGGCCATCTATCCGTTGACTTGCCCCGGAGTGAGCTGCAATCGACAGAAGAGAGAAGAGAGAGTGGAAGCGGTAAGTGAACTTGACTTGAAAGAATTCCCACTTGACGCCCGAACAGCATTTTCAGAGGGAAGATATCGACCATACATAGGGAGAAAGCTCAAGTTAGACGGCGCCTTAGCGAAACTTTCTCACTCTACATTCATTCCCTAATCACACATGACTTTGAACGTTGATTTGACTTCACATAGCTTTTCGTCTCCTTGATAGCTGGAAGAGAACGTTGAGAAGCTGATCTGTCTTTCCGCGCAGAATCCTCTTTATCTAAAGTAAAGAGCAGAGTTGCGATAGAGAACCTATTTGCTTTCTTCGACTCCCTTGCCCCTGTCCTTGCAGCAAATTCAAAGAGTTGTGTGGCATTGACTAACTCACTATTCCTGCCTGAAGGAAATGCATGAGCGAATCTTTCAGTTGCAATTCCCCTTTCCAAATCTGAATCAAAGAACGGGATTAAGGGGAAATCAAAGTCGGCGATGGGACTGATGCTCTTTCATTGCTTCGAGGATCACATTTCTTTTCAGGTCAGAATCTGATTGATGCGTTGTAACATCCACTGACTCAAAGAACTACCCTTTAGTAAATAAATCCCAGGGAAAGTCCATTTATGTTCAAATCTCTAGTGTAGTGGCTGGTTCCTCTACAACTACATCATAAGAAGAAGCCAGGTCTGAGGCCAGCGAGCTCAAGATCAGGAGCCAAAGCGGACCGAAGAAGGCTTCATCTGCTCCAAGCCCCTAAAGAAGTGAAGGGACTTGCTTTCCTAAAAAAAAATGAAATGGAAAGAGTTCGTTTCTTCCTCAAATTGTAAACATGGGTTGTCCAACTGGAAATGATAACAGAATGCATAGGTCAAACGAAGGAGTCCCAATAAGCGGATGAATATAGTATACCTATTTCCTCTATGAGGGAGAAAGCAAATTGAAGAACCCGCGGATATGTGCAAAACTTCAATTCTTCTTAGCCAAGGCTTTCCAACTCTTATAGTAGATAATATCTAAAGCGATAGAGCTGGTGGATGGAAATGAAAATGTCCTCCAGAATGAAAGTGATAAAATAGATAAAGAAAGGGCGCAAAACGCAGTCCTCCAACGGAATCAATGGCATTCCTTTCTTACTAGTCCTTACGAACTCTACATTGCTTACAAGGTTGAATAGCAGAAAGCCTTAGCTTTAGCTACTTCAATCTCTCCTTTCCTCATATTCGAGCAAGGAAAGCTGTACAAAGGAAAAGGTATTCTAAAGACTTGTTTGCAAAAAATGCAAAATCTCTTACTTAGAAAAAGTACCTGCAGATTCCTGCCCAAAATCAACTGCTATTGAATCTAAGCCAATTGAATGGAATCAGATCATCCGTTTCTGGTATGTTGGGTGTCATCCTATCCAGTACTGGATGCAGTAGAAGGTGCTCTCGGGCGAATTCCCGGCTAAAAAGTACACTGAGTTAGGCGAGAATTGTCTCGAGATTGACAGATTGACTTAGGGGAATTAGGAGTTGTTTGGAGGTGGGTACCACGGAAGAGGTAGGTTATCCCTGAAAAAGGGACTCGGATAGGAATAGAGACTAGAAGCTGACAGCAAGCTCTTAGTCTTGGCTTCTTCTTCCTTTATTTTATGGAGACAGGGTTACTACCATACTTGGAGCACGAATTCATATGTAAGATGCCCAGTTGGATCACTAATTCGTAAATTGACAACCTCTAGAAAGGGCCTTTTTCCCAAAAGATTCCTAATCGAATTTCGTCGATATTGAATACCTTATTGACTTTGAGACTACTAATAAATAGCAACGAAGCTGACTCGACCAGTTTACAACTTCGAAAGAAGGAGAGCGGAGATCTTTCTTTCAATCGAAGGGTCATGGGTTTTTTCATAGGCACCGGACTGAGGTATGAAATGAAGGACGAGTTTCACTCGCTTCGGGCTCAAGCTTAGATAAAAGAGTCCAATGAGCCCAAATGGAAATTAGATAGAAAACTAAAGCTGAGAAAGTCACAATCCATTGAATAAGATCGGCTAAAGGTGAGAGCTCAAAAAAGAAAGAAAAGAAGTCGCTCACCCGCCTACGATTGATTGGAGACTTATTCAATAGGTCCTCCTTTAGGGGTCTATTTTCTCTGACTTGACTCAGCTTGACCTACTTGACTCAGCGGTTAGAGTATCGCTTTCATACGGCGAGAGTCATTGGTTCAAATCCAATAGTAGGTAAACCCGGCCGAAACCCCAGCAAGAAAACCTCCTCAAAATATTTCCCTGGCAACCTTTTAAGGGAACCCGCCCAGAAGCTTCGATTTGTCAAAGCTGCGCTAAAAGCCTTGAATTCAAAAGTTGAAGGTCGATAAAAGAATAAGAAAGGCCATAGAAGAACTAGACGCCATTCAATCCCAGTTATCCTTTTTCCAGTTCAATGAAAGGCTCGCAGAGCAGAAGAGTATATTATCAAATTGGATGAGTTGAACGGATACAGAAAAGGATGGGGACCACAATATCAAAGACTTCCACGCTACACTCACAGAAAGAAGGGCAAGGAAGACTATCAATATCAGTATCAAGAGAATAAAGGATGAGAGTGGAACCTGTGGAAGCCTACATCAAAATAAAAGACAGGCGGAACTCTACTTTATTAATCTAGTGGGCACAGCTAGCAGAGTGGAGGGCCTCTATAATAGGTTAGGCTTCTTTCTTCTGGGAATTGGCAGTTGCTTTAGCAGCTGTGCATATCTTAACTAGTGGGCTTAGTCCGAAAAGAATATTGCCTGCTCTTCGTAGAGCAACTATGTCACTTCTGTCTATTAGTGAAAGGCTAAGGCTCCATCCATCCGAACTTTCGAATGATTCCTCTATCAAAGTTATGAAATAAGTTTGTTAGAGAAAGCTAGGTTTCCCTAAAAAAGGGTTTTCTCGCTCAGTGTCATCGTTCCGGTGATCACCTTCAGGTCAGGATACTAAAGTGGAATGGATTGCATTTCAATCTTGCCTATAATGTTGATTATTTTCCCCAGCGTATGTGGTCTTGAAGAGCCTTTCAGCGGCTTAATAAAGGCTGGAATTTACGGACCGGACTACTACGTGTCGGTTCCTTTTCAATCTAAAAGAGCAAAAGCCTATTCTCCCACCTACCAGCAGCCTAATTCCCCCTCTTTCCAATCCTAGCTCTACGGTTGATTCGAGAAAGAGGAAGAGGACCGAAGGAACAACCTAAGAGACCAATCCAAATCCAAACCTCACCTCTTCGCTTCTTCCTCTCTAGGCTTAGGCTTTCACGGGAGCTCTCTCTTCTTTCTTGTTGAAAAAGCTGTTCAACTGTGGCTAATCTCCGCGAAGGTTCGCAGGAATATGCTCTTTGCCTTTAGCCTGGCACTTTCCATTTCATCAGCTGCTGTTAGCTCTCCAGGTAGCGACGGAACTTAGGAATGAACGGATTTCAAAGTTTTCCGCTTTGACTTTAAAAAAGAAAGTTACGAAGTCTCCCCGACTTTGATTTAGAGCCCCGACTACGATCCGATCTGTCTTCTCTTATGCTAAGATATTTCTAGTTACCTTGCAAAACACTCTAAGACGCAACAACAACGGTTATTCAACTAAGACTTTTCTTCCGATAACAAGAACAGAAACACCGGTTATTGCCTACACTGGTTATTCAAGACCGGCTACGAGAGCTGTACCACCGAATACTGAATCAATTGCTAGTCTTCCCACACCGCTTACTTTGACAGAAGCGGATTGCCAAGAGTTGATTCATTACCATTTGTCCTGAAAAGCCCAAGTGGAACATACAGTAAACCCTGCCCCAGTCATTCTAGCAGAAACTTTCCGATCACTTCATCATTGTAGACTCTGTGGAGAAGGAAGGTTCGTAGGATGTTAAGCAACATTTGACCTACGCCACACTTTCGATTCCCCGAAAGTTCTAATCGAAGGCATTGAAGGTCGGCAAAAAGCAAGCTAATTCGGGTTATATCAAGGAAACGGCTCTCTTCAAAATTCGAAGACAGAGGGAATTTGGCTATACCACACAAGATGACAGGCAGTGAATATCCCCGAGTGCCTCTTTTCCGCGAACTCTAAATAGACTTTAAGTAAGAATGTGGAACTCTTATTCGTTACTTTTGATCAAGACGAGGCGAAAGAAAAAAGAGCCAGACTGTTGTGTACTTTAAGGTGTCCTTCGATTCGGGGGGCGACTTTTCTTTGAATGTGTAAAAATGAAGGTCCTCCCAGGGGCTCAATGCGATGGAAGGGTTGGGATTTTCTTTGAATATATAAGCCAAGAGTCAAAGATCCCGATTGGACTACACGGCGGAGCAGATTCTTTTAATAGCGGTTGCTAGTCAAAATCATAAGCCGAGCACAAGCCTACCTGCGGACTAGATTCTAATTATATCAAAACCCAAGGGTTGTTCGGACTGGTACGATCTTGACTTCGACTCCGACCCCCGAAGTCAGGTATGACGCTCCTATAATCATATGATGAATGTTTTAGAGGATCTGCAGGTCGTGAAGGGGATAAGAAGGACTTTTGGTGAAAGGATTTTTTCTGACCTTTCAAATCCTCATCAACTAACTAGTTAATGAGACTTCTCCAGAAGAGTCTTCTTTTGAATGCCTTGAGGAGCTCCTCTTTTTATCAATCGTAACAAAGCAGAAATGATTTCGTCTTGTAGGGACGACCGACTTGGAATTGGAATGCAATGTTGGCATTTACATTCCCTTTTTCAACTTCAGGGCTTTAGCGTTCCGGATTCAAATCCTTTTTTGGTTCCCGGCTTACTCTAAGCTAGACAAAATCCCTTCTTTCAAAGTCACTAGAAAGATAATAAAAGAATCAAAAGGTCTAATGAGCTAACCAATCCTCCTATCCTATGGGAATGCTTTCCTAAACTCTGATTGCTCTTGCCGACTCGGAACGAAAAGATAGCGAGGGATTGAGAGATTCCTCGTTGGATTGGGAGACCAACTCGGAAAGAAAGAAAGAGGCTTGGATGCTAGGGATAGCTTGAAGAACGAGTACCGGGAGAAAGGACCTTCTTTTGAGGAATGAGGATTAGGAAGCTTACTCGTAGAAAATGAAGTTGGCACCTACTAAACCAAGTGCCTGAAAAGGGGTAGTGAAAAAGGAGAAGGCAATCTCGGATTGTTTAGACACTGCCTTTGGTTCATTACCCGTTGAGAAGGCAGCATTGGTCGAGAGAGTGTGAGCGAAGCGTAGTAGCGCTGCTATACCGAGAAAAGTAATCAAACCTAAATCTAGGAAATACAGCTGGGTGTGCTCATGTTGGCTAGGTAGCAGGGCCAGACAATCCCTTTACTTTCGTGTGTGCGTACTATTAAGAGTTACGTGTGTGCGTACTATTAAGAGTTAGGAGTATACCAGCACAGAGAGAGGAGTGTGCTTCAGGTAGAGCACAGAGGAGGATAACAGTTAGGAGAGTTAGGAAGGAGTAACCCAGCACTGTGCTAGAGAAAGCAAAGCAGAGGAGTACCGAGAAAAAGCAGCAGTGTGCTGTACAGAGAACAGAGGAAAAAAAAGTTCGCAGCAAAAGATAAAACAGAGACGGAACCTTCCCCCCTTCATGCTGTACAAAAGCGGCCAGCACAAGGTCAAGGCGAAGACGGAGCAGCACTACCTGGAGATGATCCTGGCGAAGAACGAACCATTACCATTCTAAGGAGGGGGAAGCACTACTATATATCTCTTTCTTAAGAAGCTATTTATAAGTTCCACTTTCCATTAACCGAAGTCGAATGATCGCCTGGCATTAGCGCCATCCTACCGTCTCGTTTATGAGCTTGCATCTTGTACTTCTCCTGCCTCTGAAGGACCGGACCAATGATAGACCATGGGAAACAGGAAATTGACCAATGATAGTTACTCGGAAACTGGGAATAGGTTCGGGGTCTAGCTATTTACCATAGTAAGCTATCCTTAAGGGCTTCGATCGGTCCATATCAAGAAAGTCATTCCGCTTACGGCTAGCGAGCACTTTCTTTTGGTGAATATCCGGCGAATGAAATAACCATTGTAAAAGCTAGAGATGAATGCCCAGCACTCTCGGACTGATCATCTTGCTGCAAGAAAGCTTCAGGTCATTGCTGGTTCGTATGATCCAGCTTCCAGTACAAAGGCAATGTACTAAGAAAGCCAAACTTGGACAGGGGCCCTTACGTATCTAAGACATAGTTCGTGGCATACGATCGAAGAAAGCTGGGCGGAAAGCTCGGACACCAACCTCAAAAGGCGGTGTTGACCCTGTTACAGTACAGGGAAGATCCGTTTAGCCAAAACGAGAAGATCTTCTATAGTCTAGTTAGGGGGTGGATTTTTTTCATTCCTCAATGGGTGCTGCTTTTGACTGCTATCTCGTATCGATCTAGTATTGCGGCTTACGCTAGATTGACACCTTTCCTTGAATACGAATAAACGTGAGAGCCAAAACCCCATAGGTATGACCCAGGAGGGCCAAAAGTGGCATTTCTTGCTTCTTAAAAAGCTGATTGTGAAGAGGGTCTGCCCTTTGAATCTCCTCGAGCCGGGTCTAGTCAGTCTTTTCCCTCGCCCTGGGGAATCGTAGCTCTGTCTCTGCCTATTATGCTGGTACCTAAGAAGGAATGGGGCGACCGACCCCATGTTACTAATCGAAAACGTTCGTTTCGAGACCCCCATGTGTCCTTTGATGCTGACTGAGCTACCGAAGCGATGTTGGTTAGGATTGCAAGACACGTCGTTTTAGTCGGGCAATATCCGATGTCGGAAGAACAAGAACTGAATAGGCTCGCAGACCTGGTACCTTAAAGTCTTCACCGTTTGAGAACACCCGAATCCGAGTGGCTTAGCAAGAGACTCTAAGACAGATCATCCGCGCCGGAATCCCCTAACTTCATTTTTGGTATTCCCTTTTCGGGTTCTAGAGTCGACAAGCCCATAAGACGATACCGATGCCCAGAGACCGAACACAGACTTATCTTTCCCATACGGCTCTATAAGACATCCATGGAATCTTTCCACCCCCAACATCTCTATTCTTTCTATTCCGAATGGCGCCCAGTATTTTGAAGTATGGTTGTATACTTTTCCTGCCTGGAACTCCTGAATTAATTCTTTTTCTATAGGAAGGAACTCAAGCAATCCGGCATCCTGTAGAAGTTGAGTGCTCACCTTGCTCAAGAAACTTGGCGTTTCTATATAAGGGTGACTTCGGGGGAACTCGGACATTACATTTTCTTTATATTTGTCCAGATACTTTTCCACTTCCTCAACTACAAGATTTCTCAAGAAATCCTCCTCCGCCTTTCTTTTCTCCTATTATAAAGGAGTTAGGAAGCCGACGCTCTGATCTGAGTAGTTCTGGTAGCGCCCTGGTAGCCAATGAGTGCTTGTCTGGTATCGAATGAGCTCAAGTAGTTGAGTAGCTAAAGGCGTTGCCTTAGAGGAATGAATGTCCTATCTTCGGGTAGCTTCCTACAGACTTTTCTTCCCGAAGTTCCTGGATTGTGTGAAAGAAGAACATAGGGTATTGACTGATTAGAAAAAAAGCTACATTTCAAAGGTGAGGAGTGAACCTTCTTTCTGGCTGATTCAATATCACCGGAGTCTGCTCAGGGTTCCAAACCAGCAACAAGGCTAATTACGAGAAGCAGAACAAACAAAAGAAGATATGGGATTCTAATGTTGCTAATGCTACTTCCGGGTGGGCATCCAAGACAAGATTGAATTCATTGTCAAACCGTTCCAGCCGGGCATCCGTGCAGGTGTCACAGGTTCCTCCTGAAAGGCTGCTCTCTCCTCTTTCTCAAGCTTCATAGCATCGGTTGAATAAAGAGCAGGGCTAGACGCGCCTTCGATTCCCTAGTTCAAGTTAAGGATAAAGTTTGAGATAGATAATAGGCAAGCATTTGAGATACTTATTAATAGGGATTCTGCTCCTCGATCGGACTTCGTGCAATTCTTTTATATGTAAATAAGGGAGGGGTCTCGACCACATTTTTGAGTAATAGTAATAGGCTAAGGCGGATTCGTCTGCTTCGCTTACGTAGTCAAAACATTCTCGCTGGACACCTGGTAAGGAATATTTGTATATGCGGGAAAGAGACTCTCACCTACAGCTCCCGTTACTAGTAGTTCCGGTTAGCCCACTTGCCCGAGCACACTCTCAACTTGTAGATGATCCAACAGAAAAAGCAAGAGACCACGAAAGCACGCATGAAAACAGCCCTTTTGAAAGCATACCCAAGGCACCCATCCAATCTGAACTTATAGACATCAAGAAGAAGATCTATTAACACGCATGGCTACCTATATAACAAGTTGCCTCTGACCTCTGTCTCACGACCGCAAATAGAATCTGTAGCTTCATGCCCTGACCTGAACCTGATGCCAAGTCCCATCTTGCCTATGTTGCCCATCTCCCATTTAATCGGAACGGAAGTCAGAAATCTAATATCTGTACGGACCCCAAACATCACAATGGATCAACTTAAAAATGGCTGTTGTTCTATTCTCACTCAACTGGAAACTCTCCTCCGCAGCCAGAGTCCAAGTGAAATGACTATCTTTCAAACACTCTGTGATAGGTGCTGGTGCTGAAGTTGCGAATGAAGCGACGGTAGAATGTGGCAAGACTATGGAAACTACGAACCTTACTAGTGGAGGTAGGTACTGGCCATTCCACAATGGCACTAACCTTTCCCGGATCAGCCTTGACTCCTTCAGCTGAAATGCAAAATCTCAAGAACAAAAAAGGATCCCCCGGAGGCTTCTTCAAATTGATATAGAGTTTCTCTTGTTGCAACACTATCATTAATTGGCGAAGATGTTCCATATGTTCAACGGCATTTTTACGAAAGACCAATATCTCATCAAAAGATACCAAAACAAACCGACCATGGGCGCAAGACCTGCGTCATTAATTGCATAAACGTACTTGGAGCGTTGCTTCGACCAAACGGCATCATCATCCACTGACCCCTTGCTCCCAAGCCAAGTCCAGGTTTTTTTCCATCTCTATATGAGCCACGTAATGATTTGCATAGGATCAAAATCCAGAGACACACTTTCTATAGCATTAACAAACCGGAACCCGGACTCAAGTCATTCGGTCATAGTAATGATTTTTAACAAAGACCAATTGTTAGGATTCTTTGCCTCCCTATCACATGAACATCTTAATGAGATAGAAATGAATAGCCATCAAGAAGGGACTCTCACTTGAAGATTCCCACTGGAAACGGAATAAGAAGGAAAAGCAGAAGGTCCGAAGGGCTTGATAGATCTCATTATTGGATAGATTATCCTAGTGGTTCTCACTTATTGTTATTATCCTATTATCCTAGTGGTTCTCACTTATTTTATGGTACTTTTGAACCATTTTTTTTGAATACATAGTAGAAAAAAGTCATGCAAAAGAGCGTAGTGTAAGAGAAAGAGCCTGTCAAGTAGGTCTACTCAATCTTCTATCAGGCAGTTTCAAAGTCATAGATCTTTCAAAGTCATAGATTTCCAAGTCATAGATTCTGCTGGCAGTTTCAAAGTCATAGATTCTTCTCGAAGAAAATAAGTCATAGTTCGCTTGATAATCAGAGTTCACTTCATAGTCATAGATCACACTTTCTTCTAAACAGACTTCTATCAATCCTTTGGAGAATCCTAATCCACCCGTCTTCCCCAGTCCCTGAGCCCAGCTTGTAGCAAGCCAACTGTTTGACTTTGCTAAGAGAAGAGAGAGAAGGGAAAGACAGACGGCAGAAAGCCTTAGTTGCTATGGAGTTTGATTGCTTCCCCTGGGCCTCTGGCGTAAAAGGATTCGCACCTTTGCTAGCCCGGTCCCAATGAACCGAGCGGGGCGCACACTGCAGCTTCCTGCATTCGTACTTCTGACTAGCTCCCATCCTATTCTTTTAGTCAGTCTAGCTAGTATCGGATTCGGAAAATGAAAGTGAGATCCTTGTACTGTGGTACTTTGCCTATTCACTCATCTCCTTTAGTCGCAAGGAGGCAACCCAAAACAGCAGAGCCAAACCAAACCCTAAGTCAAGCACAGTCACATCAGCACAGCACTCGAGACCAGTCTAGTACAGGCGCAGACATTAGAGTTATAGATCCACAGCAAAAGCCTACTTTGAAACCTTGGAGTACTTATTCCAGGTTATTTAAAAGGCCAAAGTCGGGTCTTTCTTTCACCTTGAATAACTATCGATAAATAAAGGGCTTTGAGAATTAACCTCACCCTTTTTCTAAGGCGAAGTGGGAAATGTAAGATAAGGATTCCGGAAGCATTGGAAAAGCAGCGAGACGGGCCTACAGTAAAAAAAGGTAAACTGAAGCTACATCAACTATCGAAGCTGTTGAGTCGGCGGAAGAAGTGAAATCATCTGCAGCAGCCAATTAAATTAGGAACCATCAGACTGATCAATCCCTAGTTAAAGCTATGGTTCTTTGTAGGCTCTTCCCCGGCTAGTCCTCAAGCCATGCCAGTCATAATAGAATCTCTTCCAGCCAAGGCAGTTAAAAAAGGACTAGAGTAAAGGGAGGGGCACACAAGGCTCGTTCCGTACTTGACTTACGAGCTCGCCTCTATCTCTAACAAAGGAAAAGGATTCAATCCAGTCCCAAGCGTACCCGGGGCTAACCTGTTTACCGTATCCTTAGAGGTCTGCCCGTCGGTACCTCATTTAATTAAGGCGGCCCTTCAACCGCTTTTGGGGTCTTTTTCGACTTGTAATTGAAAAGCTCATCGGGAGTACGTATCCTATAAAAGCTGTTACAATCATTAAAAAGAAGGTAAACCACAATGAGAAACCTACTTGTACTAGTCAGTTGATTACCATTTGAAGCAAAAAATGCATTAAGAGTCACGATTATGCTCAGGGCGACTGCTCCAGTCAGTACTGGTATGGTCTTAGTGGCTCTTGACTATTTGCATCTTTCTATGAGTTGGCTACTAGAGTAATCAAAGAGTGACGGATTCAGGAATTACTTGCTAGAGATTGGACAAGTGAGGATTATCGGGAGGGTCGCAGATTTGCTCGCGAACAACTATTCGGATGGGGAACTTCGGAGTGAAAATTCTTCTTTACCCACCCCAACTGCGATGCAGGATCTTCTTGTCGCGGACAAATGTGGAATAGCATGGCCTAGATTGTGTGTGTATTAGGTAGTTCTCTCTCTTTTATAAGAAAGAACTATTATACAACATCCCCAGGCTTGAGTTTTCTTCTCAACTCTTTCTATCCAATAGTTTACTGCTGCTTTCTTTGATTTACCCCACAAGGAAGAATCAGGCTTATCCTATTATCTTTATGCCAACTGTATTTAAATCTATCATCACATTATGGTTACACCACACCATTCGAAAGACGAACATCAAGATCACATTTCAGGGACTACAAGATTTTGAGATTGGCAGCATTAAGTAGAAAGCATTATTGTAGAAGGGCCCCCCATCCAATAGATCAGGGGTCTTGCCCTATAACCTAGTGAATAGGGAAGAACAGATCAAATATGTCTAGTTCAAATGTCTTTCCTTTGCGGCGGAGTGAACTAAGCACCAATCGGAATGCCTAGCGTGCTTGCCCCTCTTCCTTCCGCTTGCCACCTTGATCTAGCCCTCTCGCTTGACTGACACATGGAACTCTAAGCTTCAAGTGACACATCCATCTCAGTCAAACATCTCTACCACTTTATGCATCTAATTCATTCCAGGGTTGGGTCATTATAACCACTTGATCGACAGAATGGGTGGGAAGATGGAGTGAAGTTAGTTTTTCGATAGCTTCCATCGTTCCAGGGTTCGAAGGTCTGGATCCAAAGTCAGATAAGAATGTTTTGCTAATGCGGCCAAGGACAAAAAGAATGGAAAATGATTTCTGTACTAAAGATCTCAATTCAATAGGGGATTCATTGCCGAGATACAAATTGGGTTATTCCGCTTGTTGAAAAACAAGACCGAAAAAGAAGCTACCTCCTTCCGTGCGCCCCTCACTTCCTATCTTCAGATGGACAGTGAACCAAGACATGAAGAAGTGCAACAGAACGAACTTATCCTTATATAAGATGAATTTTCTCTCTCTTCTACCTATGATCAGTAGATTGAAGACCAACAACATCTCGAGAAAGAAGGAAAAGAAGTAGAATCAATCAACGGCACCTAGATCATGAAACGGGCATCTCTTTCATCTGCCCTAGGATCCCATCTCTCTTCGATTATTCAAGTGATTGATAGTTACAGGACAGGGACATCTCACTCCGCCTTGATCTTTCTTTTTCTACGATACGACCAAAAGATCTCCTTAAAAATATCGAAGAGCGTATAGATCACATTTTAAGTCGAAGCAGAGGGAAGAGGGCATAGAGTCACCGACTAAAGCAAGCCAGGAAAGGTAATTGCTTACAGACAGACCAGATTTTTGAATAGCAGCTTACTCTCAAACACCGTATTCCGCCAAAACCATTTACTACGCAAACAAGACCGGCAACTGGTTGAGCTGATAGGACCACAGCTGAGATTGACTCAAGAGCGTCTGTGGCTAAAAGACTAGCAGCATATTCTTTCTTCAATTGCGACAGGAGCTCATTCTTTCGCAGCTTATTCGTCGTTTGGGCAAATGGATGTGGGATGGAGCTTGAACTAAGGGACCCGGGGCGTAGCCTTGATTCAAAGTGTCTAGGTACCAAGAGTAAAGGAAGGAGGGCTAACTAATATAATAGGGGTAGGGGGGCGCTAACGAGCCAGAAAGGGCCCCTTTATTAGTAAGGTTGCTTGCTTGTCACACAGGTCGTCTTTGGCTCGTCTCCTTCCGCGATACGCACCTGGTAGTATCCCGCCCGGCCGTAGATCCAACTTCGAGAAGTATCTCGCGCGGGCGAAGAAGTCTGCAATAAAAGTGGATACTTGTTTTTGATAGTTAGGTTACCTTGTTGAGCGCCCGATAATCAATGCACAAGGCTCCCGCTTTTTCTGGAAAGGGGCTCCCCAACCTTTTCCCAGCAGCAATCAATATAGGGAAAAACTGCCTTGGAGGCTGGAATCAAAATAGGCCTCCATGAGTTCCTGAAATTTATTCCTGAGTTCAACCAATCCCCTTAACTAATAGATGCTAGTTGGGGGGCCATCCGCTTAACCCAGAGCCCCAGTCTAAATAGTTGGGGGTTTGGCTCCAGGCTCCAACTCGATCTTGTGGTAGACTGCCCTACTAGGGCGCACTTGGCAACTAATTCGTGGGGCATGATATCCCAAAATTCCTCAAGTACTTGCTGCACTTCCTGAGAAAGAAGTAGTCTTGGTATTGGATCCGCTCTTCTGAGAGCATGAACATCAATTAGATTCAATTCCTCTTCTTTATTCTTAAGAGAAACCCCCCCCCCGAACCATTCTTAAGACCACCAAGCTCTCTCGAATGAATTCTACTCTTTCTGCTTTCGAGATACAAGAGTAGGCAAATTGATTCCCCACTAAGGTGTAAAACTTTGTGACTAGATCGTCCTGAAAACGGATGCGACGGGAAGAAGTGGCATTTGTAAGTGTTGCTGACTTAACATTTAGGTTTCGGCATAACAAAGCTTGCACTGTCTTTTCGCACTTAGGCGCACAGCGTGCCATTGGTAATGATTCTACTACGGTGCCACAAATTCGCAAGCTGATCCTAAGTAATCGTTGTTGTTCATTGGATTCCGGAGGAACTACTTCGTTAGGATTGGGGAATTGCTGCGATTCTTCCTGAATAGCCTGGATTCTCCCGTCGAGAGTCACTTTGAAAGTCGTACCTAAACTCTTACGACTGAATATGATAAAGCCTATAAAACAAAGAGCTACTATCATTTCTTCATTATAGATTGAGATCTTCTTCGAACTTAATGCACAAATAGATAGAATAGCAGCAAATAACATCTTTCTAGCATCCATATTCGTCGAACTCAATCTCATTTAGAAAGCTTATCCCCATTTCTTTTTTTCAGCAACTGAACGGGAAGTGGTTTAGGAAAGGACTTTTGAATCGGATGCGCTCGCCCAGCGAGAAAGGCCCTGACCCTGCCGACCAAGAAAAAAAGAGAACGAAAGGAGAAGAGAACTTCGTATTTTCCTTATTTGAGAAGAGGTACAAAGTGACTCGACTGAAAGAAGAGGTCCGAAGGAACAAAGGAGCTCGACTGTAAGGTCCACCAGGTCTCGACGAGCGACTGAAAGGAGAGGAATGGTTAACCTTGAATGCTATTAATAAATTCTACAGCAATAGTACCTCGGACTCGGAAAGTTATAACGAAAATGGCTAACCCAATAGCGGATTCCGCAGCTGCCACCGTTGGAACCAATGAAGCAAATACTTGACCCATCATATCATCCGAAGAAACGGAAAATACCAAAAAGTTCGAATTCACAGCTAATAACATTGATTCAATTGGCATTGACATAATAGGAATATTTCGTCTATTAAGGAGGATTCCCCGAATACCTAAAATAGAAATAATCATAGAAAATGTGAAATATTTGATAAGATCCATTTCGGGAACGTGGAATCTAAGATAAATTCAAATGTTATTAGATGACAAGCTCGACCGAACACCTGAAGTCCTTGATATTTAGGTTAGGGAGACACGCGCGCATTCCTGACAACAGGCACGGGCGATAATCCAGGCAAGCTTCCCCGCAAGCCTCACAACAGACACGTCCCAGCTGTCCGACCGTAGGCCCCGCTGCTGCGGCAAGGCGCGGCAGCCCTCTGACCCTGCGAAAAAGAGCTTCCCGTCGGTTCAGGCACCATTTTTTTTGAATAGGTGGGACTTCGGTGATAGGTTGTTTTTGATCCCATGGGGGATCTAGCGATTTCCCCCGTTCCCCCCAAGAGGAGATTGGTTAGGAACGGGATGGGCAACTTCAGCCGGTGCTGGCGCCTGCGTAAGCGGCTCTTGAGCCGCTAAAGAGAACCAATAGACACGACAGCTGGGCCAGCACCAGAAGTGGATTTACTAAATCCCCCTTATCTATTTCTGGGTAAATAAGTTGGTGACTAACAACAAAGACAAAAAAACTTGCTACCAAGAAGACGATGGATAAGAGAAAAATTAGGGTATTTTCTCCTTCCGGTTTGACTTGAGAAAAAAAAGGAATAATTTACACCGACTAAGATCAAAGAAACTAGCAGACTAATCACTAAAAAGGCCTTTGGTTCAAATTGTGACATCTATCTTAACTTACTCAATTATCTCGTGAACTATCTGCTTCAAAAAGAGAGTTGGTTGAATGAGACTGAAACCCTCTTTCTTCGAGGAGGGCACCACTTCGACTGATGCGGGCGCGGTTCCCTCGTCGTGAAATAAGTAATGAAAGGGAAGACCCGCCCCCGGTCAACTTTATTGTTGCCTGTATAGCTTTTTAGAACAGAGATCTAGCAACGCATTCTAGGCACAGATCATTGGTATTGGATGTATCGTTAGGTTGTGCCGAGTCAAATCTGCTCCGTTTTTTTTCCGTTGCAGAAAAGAGATCCCTTCCCTCCGCTTTCTAAAATGAGGAATATTAAGTCCGTGGGGCTGCAGGTACTATGGATCCTCTGACTCCCAATCGGGTTGCCTTCCCTGGTCTCGCCGGTCTTACCTGTAGGTCGTGATGTGCTTTGAGATGGCCGTCTCCTGTCCCCCTGCCGGTGGGGAATCTGCTCCCGGGTTGTCGCTCTGCTGCGTCTGGCCCGTCCTCTAGGCACCTTTGGAAGGCAGGGAGTGTGACAAGACAACATACACGCTTCCCTTTACCCCATAGGGCCTTCTTTCTCATCAGTTGCAGGGTTTGGTGGCCCGAAAGAAACTTGGCTTCGCCAAAAGGCCTCATCTCTGGAAGCCCGGCTCGCAAGGCGTCCCTCTCGCTGTAGGGTTCCAAAACTCGCCTCGCTCTTGGGACATGCTATCTTTCCCCTCTTGATTCTCAAGTAAAGGGTGAGTCCCATGCGTCAGTTTGTGGATCGCGGTCTCACGCACTAATCCCTACAGGCGGGTGCCCGTAGTAGGCCGGCCGCCCTACCTAAACCAATCATCATATCGGTCCCTAAGCCCCATTGCTGGAAAGGCTCGGCTTCAAAACCGTACGTGGGGCTTCCGCCTCATACGGCTCCTCTAAGGATGGAGGTAGGCCCAACCCAGGCTTGCGTGGTTAAGGTTGTTGTACACCTGCCAATAAGAAAACATTCAGTTTTCGGGGGGTCGGTGCTCGCGTGTCTGCAGGAGGACACGGAGCCACGAATTACGTAAAGTAAGGCGGGACTCATTCTCCTGTTGCCTTACTAATTCCTGATCAAGCCCCTGCCTCCATATGTTGAGTTGAGCATCTCGTACCATATCCAAGGCGCGATTGCGCGCCACTTTTCCCTCCAGCTTGTGCACCTCCCAATCGATGCGGGCGGCTAGTTCCCGCCCACGGTAGGGATCCCGCTCGTCCTCAAGGGCGCGTTGCATCTCCTGGATCCGTTGCAGATCCTCTGCCAATTCCATATTTCTGGCGTGTAAGGACTCAGCCCTTTCTATTTGGGAGTAGAACGAGGCTATGGGGGGAGGGGGAGAAACCGGGTCCGGAGAGCCAGGTTCGGCAGGAAAGGGCACTGGATGTGTAAGTTGCGGAGGAAAGGGGGCGAGGGAAACTTCCCTTGCCGGATCATTTGCAGCAGACTCACTCCAGCCGTTCCCCCCACTACCGCTCGCCGCGTTAAAACCGCCTGCACCCCCACTACCGCTCGCCCCTGTAGCAGGGTTTACGACCCAACTTGCCTCACCAACATCGGAATCTGATCCGATGGGCAGCAATTCCCCGAAACCATAAAACAAGAACACCCCTGTCATGAAGAAGCTATAAACATCTCCAAAAGCAAATGAGAAAAGGAGATTTATATGGATTCGGGCTGCCGAAAGAAGGAGAAAGACTATCAAACATAAACAAAAATAGAAAGTAAAAATGATCGGTTTTTTGAAGTATCGCGAGAAGGTACGAAAGCTTAAAGTCATAAGAAAGAAAGTGATGAAGAGCCAGGAAAGGTTTGTCGCGACAATAGCGTCATTCCAATAAGTTACAATTGATAACGATACCAGTTGGGCGAACAGCCGAGTTAAGATGAAAATCATATTTTATTTTAGAGGATTAGAGGTTAGGAGGAATACCGCTTTAGGAGGAATACCGCACAGATTTGTCCATCAGTAATGGAGATCACATTGGTGGGAATATAGGCCGATACGTCTCCAGCTTGTGTTTCAATGACGGGTAAGGCGGTCAAGCTACCCGCACCTAGGAGCCCTCTTTTCCTTCTGCCTAGCTACCCGAGAAGGACGTTTGACTTGCATGTGTTAAGCATATAGCTAGCGTTCCTTCTGAGCCAGGATCAAACTCTTCTTTTGACTATGATTGGGCCCTGCAGTGGTAGAACCTCGTGAACCGGGCGTACTACTTCCCAACCTTCTGTGGACCTTTCTTCTCTTAACGTAATTTCATGGAATGCAATTGGGCTTCTCTTATGATATTTTATAGAGTTTCGTTTCTTTTATCTATCTCCCCATTCGAACGAGGGAAGTGAGCCCGTCTAGGAGTAAGCTAACCACTTACTAAATCAGCATCTATCGTCTCGAACAACAGAATTGAGTTTATCTGCCATGGGAAGAGCGTATCAGATCTGTTAAGTTCTTCTTTGTAGTACCCCCAGATCCTTCTCTGTTCTTCCTCTTGTAAGATGGAATACCCTTCTCTGCTCTTCCTCTTGTATGATCCTTAACGTATACGCTGTGCCACCTCCTTAGTTTCCATTTCCTGTTTAGCTTTTGGTTTTGAGTGAGATACCTCCTGAAGATCGCTTTTGTTATAGACTTGCGCTGCTGTCGAATCATATGGAACCTTCTTTCGCATGAGCTTTTCCTTCTGAGTTAGTTTTGTATCCCTAACGAGGTTCACTGTTTCATGTCTAGCTATGGTTTTAGCAGTCTAATCTCTCTCTCTCTTGTCCGGAACAACTTCTTGGGGTTATCTGTGCTCTGTCCCTACTGTTGTTAGGTGGGAATATGTTGTTAGCCATGCCAGGATCAAAGTCTTCTTTGTCTTCTGCTTATCGCGTGAACGTGGGCAATTTTTATTAGAAATGAAGCAACATTTCATCAAGCCTCGCCTATACTAGAAGCCAGAACTATTTTGGGAGCGAAGGCAACCACCATTGAACTTGTGGTCTACCTAGTAGAATAGAAGGGCGATAGAATGGCCGTTGAATGGCATAGGACCGAGGAACTGCTATCGTGCTACTGGCTTTTCATCGGATTGCTACTGGTTCAACGTCATATCCGTCCGAACAGACTGAACATCTAAAGAGCTCATCGTTGAGCTAGACCGGAAAGATGAACGCTGAGCTAAGGACTAAATACCCCGAGACTGTAAGGGGTGCTGAGAATGAGGTACAGGTCTCCGTCGATTTAGACGGCCGTGGACCCCTAAATAGGCCGGCATTCAAAGCATAAGAAAGCCTTAGTTAAGCAAGATAGAAGTAGGAGGGAGTCATTCTGTTAGGAAAGAAAGGTAAATCATTCTCGTGGGGCAGGCAGTCATTTCCGGTCTCGAAGGTACCTTATAAAGGGATCATCTAGTAGGGCATACGTTCCCCCATCCGTATCTATCATATGTGTTGGGTGAAGAGCTAAGACAATGCTTGGGACGGGGGAAGAGTCTGCAACAAAATCAATTGAATAGACAGAGAAGTCCGTTAAGCGTATCGATTCAAGCAAGTCCGACTAGGTTAGGCGCCGCCTTCCAGACTTATGATAAACCGCCGGGTGGTATGAACTCCAGAGCCCTATTCTGGTTACAGAGTGCGGGTAGCCGACAAGTAGGTTAGCAAACAGGTGAATCAATAGGCTTTGCTCCTGCCTTCGCTTCCAGGAGAGAAAGAGTACTGGCCTGAAAGCGATTTTTACACAAGATAGGATGGCTGGGAGGGAGTTCTTGAATGCCGAATCCCTGTATTGAACTCATACCCGTCGGTAGGCCCCGCTTAAGATAGACCCGATTCCAGTGTATCGTAGAAAATAAACTTCGCTGCTGGTTTGGAACCCTGAGCAGACTCCGGTAATATTGAATCAGCCAGAAAGAAGGTTCACTCCTCACCTTTGAAATGTAGCTTTTTTTCTAATCAGTCAATACCCTATGTTCTTCTTTCACACAATCCAGGAACTTCGGGAAGAAAAGTCTGTAGGAAGCTACCCGAAGATAGGACATTCATTCCTCTAAGGCAACGCCTTTAGCTACTCAACTACTTGAGCTCATTCGATACCAGACAAGCACTCATTGGCTACCAGGGCGCTACCAGAACTACTCAGATCAGAGCGTCGGCTTCCTAACTCCTTTATAATAGGAGAAAAGAAAGGCGGAGGAGGATTTCTTGAGAAATCTTGTAGTTGAGAAAGTGGAAAAGTATCTGGACAAATATAAAGAAAATGTAATGTCCGAGTTCCCCCGAAGTCACCCTTATATAGAAACGCCAAGTTTCTTGAGCAAGGTGAGCACTCAACTTCTATAGGATGCCGGATTGCCAAATACGGCAGACCCGGCAGCTATGCAATTACTTAATTCAGTCTACAATAATTTGGTGTCCGATTTTCGGCTAGTGGACAGCTATACCAATAATCCTGTATACAGCTGTATAAGATTTTTTCTAAAGGATTATCGGTGAGCAAGAATTCAAATGTAGTTTTGAGTTTCGTTAGTTAACCTACCTTTTTCTTTTGGTGGTGAGTTTCCTTTTTTATTTTTTTCGCTATGCGCCGCTCCGCCAGCAAGGAGTGCCACGCACAAGCAGAGCGAAAACAAACAAAGCAGGGGGAATTATTCGTTGGGGGAAATCCTTTGATTGCGTATTATAGATCCATGTCTTTCTTGTTCCACTAGCTAGGACAAAATTTGCACATGTCCGTTTCGTTATTACAACCTTCTTTTTTGATGTCAAAGACCAGAAGCTACGCGCAAATTCTCATTGGGTCTTGGTTGTTCTTAACAGCGATGGCTATTCATTTAAGTCTTGGGGTAGCACCACTAGATCTTCAACAAGGTGGAAATTCTCGTATTCTCTATGTACATGTTCCTGCGGCTCGGATGAGTATTATTGTTTATATCGCCACGGCTATAAACACTTTCTTGTTCCTATTAACAAAACATCCCCTTTATCTTCGCTCTTCCGGAACCGGTATAGAAATGGGTGCTTTTTTTACGTTGTTTACCTTAGTTACTGGGGGGTTTCGGGGAAGACCAATGTGGGGGACCTTTTGGGTGTGGGATGCTCGTTTGACCTCTGTATTCATCTCGTTTCTTATTTACCTGGGTGCACTGTGTTTTCAAAAGCTTCCTGTCGAACCGGCTTCTATTTCAATTCGTGCTGGACCGATCGATATACCAATAATAAAGTCTTCAGTCAACTGGTGGAATACATCGCATCAACCTGGGAGCATTAGCCGATCTGGTACATCAATACATGTTCCTATGCCCATTCCAATCTTGTCTAACTTTGCTAACTTCCCCTTCTCAACCCGTATCTTGTTTGTTCTGGAAACACGTCTTCCTATTCCATCTTTTCTCGAATCTCCTATAACGGAAGAAATTGAAGCTCGAGAAGGAATACCAAAACCTAGTTCACTCGCTCTCTTTGCATCCATGGCTGAATGGTTAAAGCGCCCAACCTAATAAAGAGGCAAGTAGGTTCGATTCCTGCTGGATGCACTTGGAACGTTCAGTTCAATCGCAGCTCACAGAATCTAAAGAGATAGCTCGCCCTTATAGCTTATGGGGCATTTAACTCGCTCAACACTCGTTCAAAACATCCACTCGTTCAACAGGAAAGAAAAGGTCCAAAGGATCTACTTCTCAGGATGGAAAGAAGCAAGAAAGTCTAGAGAGTCGAAATGACCTTGGTCCAACCATAGTAGGACTGATTCGTAAGATTCTATCCTATTCTTCTAAAAAGGAGTTCTCTAATTTAACTGGACTTGAAAGCGGTGGATCAAGCCCCCCTTTTTCTTTGGCTGTGTCCAAGTGAAGTGAAACTCGGGAATGAAGCAGATAGGTCTCAGTCGAAGAAAGGTAGCCCTATTGGGTCTGGGATTGCTTACCTTTCTTTCCTTCTACAGTACGCCTTAGGTGATTCTAAACCTCCACTCTCAGTCTACTTTTGAATCGATTGCCTTACCTATACCGACCCTACTCAACAGGGGCCGTGAACTATGAAAAGCCTGCCAGGCAGAGAAAAAAGTGCAAAAGCGATTGAACAAAGTCGCTCCGGTCGAAATGGTTTGGATGCAGATGAGGGAGAGGGTGAAAGCTTTCATTTAAAGGTAAAGGGAAGGGAGGAGGACAAGTAGATCTTATCCTGCGTGCAGTAAGTATGAAGAAGAGAGCCAGGTCACTAGCTAGGTAAGGGTCTACGATTGCTCTGCCTACCATAAATAATTTGAATTGAGCCTATACTCTTTGGAAATTACTGAAAGAGAGGCCTAGGATTGCTCACAGATCTGCTTAAAGGAACTTAAGATAAGTGCTGGACATGCTTTGTTGAGGGGCTCAACCAATCAATAGCTTCGCTTACTTCCCCAGAGTCTTTTGCCTACTTATTGACCACTGACTCCTAGATCAGCTAACGACTCTTTTGAAAGCATACAGATCCCCAATGACAATATCGTCACCCGTGGGATTGGGGGCTATGAGTTGAACTATACCTGCAATCCGTTGACATGGGTACTATTCTTCAGGGACTATCCCACATCGACGACAACTACTCTCTTTTCTGTAAAAGATTGCTGCTTAAAAAGAAGTCTGACTCTTCTTATATCAATCCCCCTTCCTTCTGGAATACGACAGCTACTACTTTGATTGAAAAATTAGAACGACTGCTGATGTGTAAGCGGAGGCATACTTTGATGTATCAAGCGCTACGCACTAACTTCTGCGTCCTTCTTCAGACAGAATCTCCTTGCTCCCATCTATTGGAAAATCCACTCAGAGACTCAATAGTTGATAATAGTTGAATAGCTCCTCCGGTAGCCGGACTGTCATTCCCACTTTTTTCTGACCTTCCGGTTCTGAATCCGTAGGACACTTCTCTGTTCTCATGTATACCTACACGAGATCTCGAACTTGAAACGAAACATCATTCTCCTCTTTCTTTTACCTTTCTCTCTATCCAGGGGCCAAACTCACACTTTCAGGAGCTATAGCATACATGGAGCCAGCAGGGAGAGCCTTCTTGAATAGCAAAAGCCTTAAGCTTCAGACTAGTTCTAACCCCGATCCTTCTTCGGCGGATCTGTCCTTGCCTCTTTCCTGATACAAAAACTTTCTTTTCATTTTATATAGATGCAAAAGTTAGCAATCCTATTTTCCTTCGTAAGAGCACATCTTACATCGCAAACTTTCTCTTTATATACCGACGATTTCTATCAAAATGGCATCAATCTCACAATGTGGTTTGAGCAATTCTATGACCAGCAAAGACTAGAATTCCCTTGTCATGAGGTAGTCTTAGGTTCATGAATTTTTCGGGATTAAACAATGCTAACTCCCTTGCTACTAGCTGCTTCTTAAAGTGTGTTTGACACCCACCAGATCCAATGAAACTCACAAGCTTATCTTCGTCAGTGGAGTTAACTTGATCACAATCCACAACCTCAAAATTATACCCATCAGCTTTACCAACAGCAACCAATCCGTAAGTAATTCTAGAGACTGCCCTTGTAGCTTTATCTAGTTCTGGTTGAACGAGAACTTTATAATTAAGCCTACTAATCATACCTCCAACCCCCCAACACAGGGAAAATTCTGGGGTTCCAAAGCTGGCAGGCTAGGTTCCCGTTTCTTCCTCTTCTTAACCTTCTTTCCCTTCACAGCTCTAATGCCTCGCCAGAGCTCTTTGACGAACTCACTTTTCAGCACAAGTTCCTCCAGGATCAAAGGATGCCAAAAATCAGATCTTATTAACTTCCTGGTGGCTGATCCCGTTGGTCCCATCTTCTCCGCTTGTTTCAGCTGCAAGCGGAAACGTGTTTATGAGGAAGATCCTTGACAATCTAAGATCCTTACCGTCTTCCTGATTCCCTGTAAACCCAATTCATGAAGCTCTCCCATTAGCTTCAGAACTCTATCACGACTGTAAACCTTCCCTACCCAGTCCCACTGAGCTTGTTCAGGCGATAATCCACCCGGCTCCCACACATGGTTAGCTCGTCCAGGATCGCAAGGTCGTTCACTCGCTACACGAGTGCTCTTCAGCGACATACTATCGTAACCAAGATCAAGCAGAAATTCCCATGTCCGAGGTCTAGAACACAAGGGCAAAGTAGGAGATCGGAAACGCATACCATATCTCGCAGAAGGTCGTGTAGAGCCATCGCTAGATCTAACCTTGGACGAGTGAGCTCTGTCACGCTTCCCTGGTTTTCTTGCCCGAGCCCTGCGGTAGTTGCGCTTGCCAAGAAACCTTTTCGGACCGCGAGATCGTCTTGCCCGAGGAGTCGCAAAAGCTCCGGATGCAGGAAATCCCTTCTGAGTTGGACCGCTCACCACCTGCTCGATGAATTTCCCAAGCGACGGATCTGGGTCTTCCTCAGCTTCAGGATCGGCGGATCTCTTCATCGTCGTCATGCGATGGAAAAAAACATCTGCTCCACCCGAGCGAGAATCCGCCTGATCAGCGCTATATCGTTACTATCCAAACCCATTGTCGAAATCGTCGTTGGATACCCACAGTCAGAAGACCGAAGGCTCTGATACCATCTGATAAGACCCGAGATGGATCTTCTCGGTAGAATAGAGAAAGAGATGAAAATATAGAAGAAATTGGGAGAAAGCTTGGCTGATTCGAGACGCCACTCTTCCATCTTTACATAGCAGCCCCTCTTTTTTCCGTATAACCAGATTCCAGGTTCTTTCCCTCTCGGGCTTGTTGTAACACAGTTCTTAACTCCGGATCAGCTTCAACTTGAGATAGTAATTCTGCTGCATCGAAAGAGGGAGGAGGTGCGAATACAAGTTCCAACAGACGCTCAGGTTGCACTCGTCTTGACAACGCATCAGCAGCCTTATTTTCAGTTCCCGGCTTATACTCAATGAGAAAATCCAAGCCTAACAGTTTGGTAGCCCATCCTCTGTTGTTCCTTGGTGACAAACCTTTGTTCCAGCAAGTGCTTTAGACTCTTCTGGTCTGTGCGTATCGTGAAACGTTGCCCTGATGTCTCCAACGTTGGACTGCCAAGACTATTGCTAAGAGCTCTCGTTCGTACACTGATTTCAAGCTCCCCTTTTCAGAAAACCCTTGGCTGAGATACGCAACAGGCCTGTTCCCTTGTAATAAAACAGCTCCAATTCCATTTCCCGACGCGGGTCACAAAAGGTAGCTTCAAATCTGGCAAGGCTAGAACAGGAAGCGTCGTCACTGCTCCTTTGAGAGCCTTGAAAGCTAGTGCTGCCATTTCTGTCCATTTTAAACTGTTCTTTTTGAGTAACTCGGTCAACGGTCTCACAATTTTCCCATAATTCTTAACGAATCTCCTGTAGTACCCCGTCAAGCCCAAGAAGCCTCGCAATTCTGTTGTGTTCTTTGGTTCTGGCCAACCCACCATTGCTTCTAACTTAGCTGGATCAGCTGACACCCCTTCGCCCGATATAATATGTCCCAAATATGCAATCTGTGGTTGTCCAAAAGCACACTTCTTTCTGTTTGCATAAAACTGGTGTTGTTCCCAAATCTGGAGCACCATTCCCAAGTGATTCATGTGTTCCTCCGTGCCCTTGCTATAGACTAGTATGTCATCAAAAAATACCAACACAAACTTCCCTGCGGAAAATATCGTTCATCACGGATTGGAATGTTGCTGGTGCGTTGGTAAGCCCAAATGGCATGACCAGGAACTCATAGTGCCCTTCGTGAGTTCGAAAGGCAGTTTTCTTCACGTCTGTGGCTCGTACACGTATTTGGTGGTACCCGGATTTGAGATCGAGTTTGGAGAAT